ATACAAAGTTGCTAAAGTTACTTTAATGTTTCTTTCCCATAGTTTTTGCCACTTTTCTAGTTCAACATTAAATCCAAAGTTTTGCGCCCATATTATCATAGTTTCCTTAACCTGTTCTCCTTCCATTTTCCTGTCAAGTAAAAAATCAGATAGTCTTTTAATAATTTTCTCATCTGTTTTAAGCATCACTTGATCAAATTCTGTTAGGTCTCTATAGAACCCCCATGTTTTACAATCCTTAACATATCTTGATTGCATCTGCACCTTATACCACCAGGAAGTATCAAGTCCCTGTTCTTGTATTTCTTGTTCCAGTTTCAGGCCACCATCCTTATCCAGGATATCGCCATATCTTATGATCTTTGAAAAGATCAATACATTTGGATATACAAAAGCTTCCATAGGTGAAAGCCATCTTGGTAACTTATTATACAGTTTTAGCTTTAGTTTTTCCCACAATGACATTAAAGATCTTCTGATAAAATGACTCAGGAAGGACCCATGTGACTTAGCTTTTTCATACCACATATAAGCATGCCATCCCATCTGCAAGTCATGACCTTCAAGATACAAAATTCTTTTATTTCACAATGTTACCCATTCTTTTAACCAAGTTAAAACAGATGCTTGATAATACAACATCCAATCAGGAAGTCCAAAACCTCCATTTCTTTTAGCTTCCTGAAGCATTTTTAATTCAATCCTTGGGGGGTTTTTTCTCCAGATAAACTTCGAGATATGAAAGTTTAAGTCATCAAAGAATTTATCAATTTTTATGGGAATCATTTGAAACAAAAACAAAAGTTTAGGTAATATATTCATTTTGACAAGAGCTGTTCTTCCCATCAAAGATAATTGTAAATTGGCCCAGTTTTCCATTTGAATTTTGAAGGCTGGTGACAGCTGCAAGCCTGTGGGGGAAGGTGAAGGTAAGCAACAAGCTCAGCCCAGGTATTTTCTGAACTAGAACTGGAGTTTACACCCGTGCCTGTTTTCCTCCAAGCTTTCTTGATCTCAGCAGCCTGAATGAAGAGGAAAAGGGGCTTCTTGCTATCTTTAGTGAATCACTGGGAGTAGGAATCACTCGCTGGTCTACTGAAAATTACTTGGATCTCAATCTGCCTTCTGTTTTCCCTGTCTGACAATCAGTTATTTTTCTCAGATGTCAACTTATAAATGAGCTCATGCAATTAAATACAGTAATATAATTCCAGGTACTGAAAGTTCCTAAAATAGGTTCCATTACATGCACTTGATTGTAACATGTACTTTGCTCCAATAGAAGGCAGCTTTTTAAAGAGATGAGCAACACCTTCTAATTAATATTAGTCAAAATAATTCCATTGTGTAAGCATAAAGTTTACTAACTTGCTGGCTGTCTTCATACTCATTTTCAAAGGTATGGTACACCTTTTAACATATACAAAGCAAATGTCAAGTACAGGGACCTGGATAACTACAGTTCTTTTTTCTGCTATTTGACTTGAGAAAAAGGGCTGCAAAAATAACAGTCTACCTAGTGGAACATGAAGAGACTGGCAGCAATCATACCTGAAAATCTCAAGTCTGTGAAAGAAGAAAGTGAGCAAAAATTAAAATAGAACTCTGTAATCATTATTAAAGGAACAGCTACCAGTTTAGGGCACTATTCATTCTGTATGCTTACACAAAGAAAACTGGCAACAGATAAATAGTAGCCACATCTTCCAAAGGTCACAAGTGAAACAATAGCATTTCTGGAGTAAGAGACACATCAAGATGACAATTCTGTTTGCATCAAAGGAAATATCTTCAAAATTAGTACATAAAAAACAGGATTTTGTATCCTACACCATAAAGAACTACACATCACTTGTTACTCATGAATCAAAAGACAGGACAAATACCCAGTACTTTATATACCCAGGGATTAATTACCCTTTTCTTCTGTAAATTGGGGAGCACTCTATAGAGATACAACAGGGAGTTCTCATTGGCACATGGACTACCCTCCCTCAAGGAAAGCCAAGGTGTCACTGGTGAAAAGCCTCATACCGCATTCATAATTTAGTATTATGAAATGGCTACTCATCAACATGGATCAGTTCAGGCCTTACCATGGCTTGTGGGCAGCTGAAAGCCTGTGCACATCATGTGGTTTCTCTTTCCACTGCACCTCCCTTTTCGGAGCTAAAGTGTGGAGCAGGGGGAAATGGGAGCCCTGCTGTGAAAGCGACTTGTAATTTTGGACACAAGCTGTCATGTTTCAGTAACATTCAGCTTCCAAAGGTATACTGAAATAGAACAATTTTGGTTCAATATCTGTTCTCAGAAACTGGTAAAATGCTAACACATCCATACATAAATGAACCAAATTCTTCTCTCTTCACATTCAGCACTCCTAAAACAGGGAGGGTGTCATATATTATATTCTATATTAGATCCTTTCATTATAGTGTTGTGTATCCTTAAGTCTGAATAAAGAAATGAGCTTGAAGTAGGAATCAAAACTGTTTTGTAGAAGCATAATTTCCCCCATCACCATATTCCATTTAAAAGCCAACTAGGTCCTTAATTTTTATTTCCACGCCTATATCCCAAGTCCTATAATCATTTCGCAGCTTTACATTTTCTGCATCCTTTCTTCTAGGGGCCTTCCTTAGTAATGGTTAAGACTTTCCTTAGTAGTAGTTCCAGAGTGACTTTTCTAGAATTCCTGCAACATTAGGAGCTTACTTCAGTACAGTAAGCATCTGAAAACTTTTTAAAGTCAAAATTGTCACTTACCAATACAGGTATGTTTATGGGATGTATAGCTAGTACAGTTCTAAACTGTCCAGAGGGCTGATGGACAGTATATGAAACAAGCTAACAAATGGTATATCTGTATTAAGTACAAATGGTATATGTTTTACCTTGTCTTAAGCAGCCATTAAAATTCTTCAAGCACCTAGTTACACACATAGCAATGATGTTATTGGCAAGCAACTAAATTAAGGCTGGTCTCTTGTCATTTATTTTATTCTGCACAAATTTAATATATAAATGTTGACTGCAACAGAGGGCTTCCTGGAGGATATTATATTTTGTTTAAAGAGTGGATTGGATCTGCTCGTGGATGGAAATGAAAAGCTAAGCTTCCCCCCCCCCCTTTCTTCACCAGCCCCAGAGCTCCCCCAAAATGTCCTCCTGAGAAACATGGAAACCCTGGGAGTTTGGGGAAAACTCACAAGAACTTCTACCCACTGTCCACACACCACAGCTGATCCCATGTGGTGGGGATCCCTATCACACAAGACAACATGTTCAGACAGCAGGAAAAGGAAGGGTGAAAAAGTCAGTTCCCACCTACCTTTCATGGGCAGATCTCTGGACACAACAAAAGCATGAAAACCATCATGCTTTTGGCACTGGGCCATCATGAGTATGTGCCATGTCATTCCTCCGTACCTACTGCACTGCTGCTTCTGAAGTACAAGTAGAAAAAATGTAGGCCTTGAATAATTTTGAAAGCAACATGAGAATATCCCTGAGGAACATTTTGCATAAACCTTTTTATATAACCTTTACAAACCTGAGCTTCACATCCAATGAATGCCAGCTACCGTCCTAAATAATCTGAAAGGTTCAACTATTCTTTGGTGAGAACACCACCGAACACATTTGTTTGAATAAATATAATTCTGAACATCATTTGGCAATCGAGTAGCAAAATTCGGGAGTTTTCGATGTTATTCTGCATGGCTAAAGAGTGACACATGCAATCAACACTTGCTAGTGAAATGAAACTAGACATTTTGAAGAACAGAATGAGCCAGGATCACTGGAACAACAGTCCTAGAACCTGTATTCTGTATTACAAATCACAGTGTCAGTTAGCTAATGTTGCTGTGAGATTTTTCCTCCTGTATGTCTGAAATTTGGACTTTTCTTTTCTAACCCCATAATCCCAGGTCATGTAGCAAACATCCACTGAAGCTGAAAAAAAAAACAAAAAAGCAGTTTGTGACAGGGCAAAAAAAAAAATTCATACAACATGCCTACATCCTTGGGTACAAGTAAAACAAATGTGGGCAACAAGGGGCCTGTCACCCAATAAGCCCCCCCCCCACTAGTGGGGAGGGGGAAATTCAGGAAAAAAATGTGTTTTTGGAGTAGCCAGTGCCATTAAAACTATTTTTGACACCAGCTGTGGGTGGGGTCTGCACAGCAGGGAATCTGGCCAGTGAAAATGACCCCAGAACCACCCACAGTTGTCCATCCTGACCTAAAGCAAAACCAACGAACAAGAAATTAAGTTCATGCCTTCAGCTGGATCTTTTCTGTAAATCCATGTGGGCTTTTCATTCTGACTTAACATTTTTCATCAACATTCTGCTGCAGACATGCCTCTGTATGAGAAAAAGGTGAGAGCAGAATTGGCCCAATATCTCTACTTGAAAAACAATGAGGAGTTTTATTTCTAAAAAGAACAGAAACATTCTACAGGCATTGCTTTATTTCTTTTACTTTTCAATAAACTAAATCTATGACAAGACTATACAGGGTCACTGTAATTCATTTCTATGTCTAGTTAGCCTATACTTTGGAGTACCTATTATTCAACCAAACCTTTGCAAATACCATACAAACCATATATTTGAAATCAAAGATAGGAATGTTTATGCATGCCAAGTTTTTACAGGCTTAGCAGCAATTCTCTGTTCCTTTACTATTTTCCTTTACTATTTGAAACCCTCATTCCTAGAGAGATGAGCAGTTCTGTTCATTTTGTAAGTAGCTGTCAATAATATCTGTGAATCCACCATGGATATATTCCATGTTGAGCAATTAGAGACATAAAAATAAGAAGAACCAGAATACTGTTTATTTTTTATAGTTAAGTAGGAAATGCCTGAAGAATCATCTCAGAAAATATGCAAGAAAGTTAACTGAGAACAAGTATCACCCGAGTTACTGGAAAATCAGGCTGGCACTGCAGAAACATTTTCATACATTTTCATACATTTTAATAGAGCTCACGTAACAGAGTTTCATGCAGCCACAAGTTCTTCAAAGGGCATGATTTCAGCATAGATGCTTTTGATCACTTGCTGTTTCTGCAGAGGGCAGAAAAGTAACTACACTCTCTGCACTAACAGGAACAGTCCACACCTATTTGAATTGTACTGAATTGAAATCATTATTTTGAAGAAATCAAGTTAGGCCTTTGCCAAGACAGTGCCTGACTTTTGCAGTTTAAGTGCTTATACTGGGATACATCCACAACACAGCACAAGTGCAATCCTGCTCAAGCAACAGACTGTTCCCCTCCTGTAACTTCTCCCTGCATCCCCCAAGCCCTTTGAGAATCACCCTCTCCCTGCTCTGTTGCTGGAAGACTTCCATTGGCAGTGAGATTTCACCCAATAGTACTATATCTAAGGGTGTTAACCAACCAACCACACACCTTTTTGATCAAAATTCTATTAAATAGTATTCCAATCAAACACCGTATCAGTATATTAAGTACATTTCACTATTTACATACTCTCTGATTTTAAAATGCACACCCTGAATAACTGCAGATTCCAGCTGGTTAGGTACTAGTATCAAAAGAGGCTAAAGATGTTCTTCTAGCAAATTTTAGCATTTCTTAAAAACTTTGCAAGCACACTGCATTGTTCTGGAGTTGTGAAAAAATGCAAGCACCTACAGTAGACACTTCTTATGCAGAATGCAGTGCAAAATCTCTTGACTGGGATAAGAGCAAGCAGTTACTGCAATCTTGGTCACTTATGTCTAAAGCAAGATGTTACCAGGATGAGCCTCACACAAGCAGATTCCTACAGAAGGTACAGTACTAGCAAAGTACACTCTGTAATTTCTTTTTTACACTGTGCTTGGTTTTCAAAAAGGGATCACTGCTTGCACTGAGAAGGATGTTCCAAAAAACTACTTGAAATAATTTTGTCAAAATAATCAAAACGATGACTACACCATTAGAAAGGAGGTTTCCTTGAATTATATGGCATAGCTAAAGAGTCTAATATGTAGTGTTTGCTTTGCTCTCTACCTGTTGAACTGATCAGTACAGGTGTTCTTTATTATAAAGGCAAAGGTGGTAACCTTCTGCACAATCTCTTTGAAGGAAACAGGAGCACAAAAAGGTAACAGTGCTTGCATGCTCTCATGCCTTTCAGGGGGGGTTGTGCAAGGCAAGATCCTGATATTTGCACATGTATTGTACTCCAGAAAAGCTGGTGACTTGTAGCTAGTGATTGCACAAACACAGCAGTTTGCACAGCTGCTATTTTTCTCCTCTCTTCCCCTCCTGCCCTTCTAAACTGTGAAGGGGCCCTTCTAAACTGTGCCAGACAGAACTGTAGCATAGGGAAGGAATCACTCTACAGGGGGAAGAATTTTGCGCCGGCAGAGCTCCTAGCGGTGCAAGCTCCCTCCACCCACTTGCAGCCAATTCTCCCCACTTGCACTGCAGCCCTGTATGGCAGCCCCAACTGTTCACTGAAGAACACTTCTGGTGGGCACAGGGTCCTACTGGATGCAACCCATCCATTACCATTTCACTATAACTTTTTTTCCCTTCGCTTAAAATAGGATATGTAGCTTTTGTACTCCTCTCACAGTTACATGGTCTAGTGCATTCCAGGGAAATTTTCTTATAGTATTTTTCTATAATACAGTATAGAACTGAAAACCCCACGAGTGCTTCTTAGGTTTTGTTGCAACACTATTTTGTCACACGTCACTGCTGACAGGAGGTACCTAAGATGTGTTAACTCTCTGACATCAATTGCATTCAATACACCTGGAATCTTTATCGCCAGTGTTATCACACTTCAGACGGTATCATCATTCTTCTGCTCCTGCTTCTAACATAGTATCTCCAAGCTTGAAATCCAAGCACTGAGCAAAGAAGTCTGCAAGAAATCTCTACATAAGAGGAGCTGACCAAGGTATAATGGCTCCACAATATTGGGACAGCACATGACAAGGTGTCCTAATCACAAGGAATGCATAAAGGTTTGTTTCCCAATATGCTTACTCAATATGTGGAAGAAGGGCAAGGCTGGCAAGCTTTTGTCTATTGGTGAATGCTATCCTTTCTCCTTCATTGTTCCCTGGCTTCAGGAAAAAAGTGAACAATATACCTTATTGTCCCTTTACTAACATGTGCAAACACACAAACATACTTGAGTCCTCCCAGCTTCCATGCAAGGGAACAGCATAGGCAACGCAAAAGATTCACAAACTGGTGTGATCATAATGGAGGACTAAAAACTTGAGCAATTCTTACAAGACCTGTTTTGAATCAAGGAATATTTTAGAAGGCTGAAGGCCAACAATCTGCAAAATCCCCTTGGGACAATATCCCAAAATACATCAACACTTGTAGATACAGCATCACCAAGATGCACTGAAAGCTGCAAGATGCCAGGTATCAATCTCCTGTAAGCAATGCAAACCAATTGATCAAAGTGAACTATACCTGTTGTCCTTCAATACTATGAAAGAAAACTACTCAAGCAAACAGTTATCAACTCAACACAGTGTAAAATATTGTTATCACTTCTCAACCTTGGAGTAACAAAGTAGAACTATCTTGGAAAATAAAGACTACGGTGATGGAATACTTTGCAATAGATAAACTAGTAAAAAAGTTAAAAGCATACACTGTGTTCCATAGCTATTTCTAGAGGGCTTCCCATGTCTATTTTTAAAGTATGTACAACAGGTGTAAACAGTCTCCCCAGAAATGTTGCCTCTGCCTCTCTTTACATCTTTAAAAATGTTACAACATTCCAATTGATGCATTAGACTTTTCCTTGAGTTAGTACAGTCAGTCAGTCCAACTGGTAGGCCCCAGGTCAATGTCTTCAGCTGGTAACAGCTTCAGTAAAGCAAGTGCTCACATATTTAAATCAAATCCAAAGTGAAGTTTCGAATGACATCTGGTGTTCCTGTGTCAAAGCCACATATATCCAACATGCCTCTGTCATCTGGGTCTGCGATGGTGAAACTGCTGGATGTCATTCCACAAACTATCAGTTTGGATGGAATACCCATTCTCTAAAAGCAAAAAAAGAAAGACAAATGTTTTGCCCGCTAGTATGCACCGGAACATCAATTTATGAACTATTTTTAAACCTTGTGCACATCACTGTGACAGGTATGTAGACTCTAGCCTGGCCCCTTGCTCCAAATGTCAGAGGAAACTCTACTGGCCCAGTATCTGTGCTTTAGAGCAGTGTGATGCATTCTTCCTCATCACTAGCCACTTCCTAGGGTCTCGGATCGCAACTGTAATTGGGTAGAGAACTAGCTTCCCCTCCCTCATTGCCTTTGATCTAACTTGTATATGCTTTTTCCTTTTCTTCCTCCCTCCTTCTGCTTGGCCTTGGGAAAGCCTTCACATTCCCCAATAACATGCATTATAGCATGCATGGGATACTTAAAAAGGTAAGATATACTTCTAGATAGGTTTTGAGATGGAACCACAAGAGAGCCTTGCTTCCTTACACCAATATAGCCAAAGACAAGACTACTATGTACTGAGCAAAATGCTTGAATTACTTGAGATCAGGTCAAGATTTAAGACTAATTGCACAAATAGAAATGGATTTCCCTGGACCTTCTTCCCATGACAGACCCTGCGGTACCCTTTTTTGTTTATTTATAAATACATACATACATACATGTATTTATAGGTCACCTATAACTGCTGAGACCTTCCTAGGCTGCTCACAGTACAATGCTACACTGAGAGGACATCTGCTGAAAGAGATAAGTTGCGGTGTAATGCGGGAGGGAGGGGAGAGAAGGGAATCCCAGATCCCTGCCTCCCACAGAAAGTCTCCTTCCATGGAGGGCAGATCCTGGACCCAGCCCTAAATATTTGGACCTTTATGAATAGAAGCCTTCATGAATTTAATAGGGTGCTAGCTCCTGGTTTTGCATTATTCTAATGCTGCACACATTTCTTTCAGAAGATTCCCCTGTCCCTTTCTGGAATTTAGCATTTAAAAAGCAAAGATTAATATGAAAATAACTTTATGACATTATAGATGGAGTATTTACCTCCCTATATTGCCTCAAAGCTGTGGCAGGATGAATATCTCCAGCAAAAGTCTCATTATCTGTGAATACAATAAAGACATCGACAGGTACACCTGTCTTTTGTGCCCAAAGCATTGGAAGAGAACAATCAGTGGCACCCATTGGAATCTAGGATAAATAAGAAACCGTGATCAAAAGCAGAGCAAATCAACCACTATTCTAGAGCTGAAAATGATGTTACTAGTCCCTTTACAGTTCTGATAGGAATGTGGTATTGACGCATGAGACAGCCTTGGTAAAAAGTGAACGGATGTTTATATAGATCTTCTTCTTCACATCACATGCTCCCTAGTAAGCAACTGTTTCCCTGGGAAGTTGTCTGATTCCAGGTTAAATTATGTTTGCACCTCTAGTCTTGTAGTGGCTACTCTAAATGGTAGTGAATCACCAATGTCTGGACAGAGGCCTTCTACCTGAGCCTTTTAAACAGCTTTAGAGGCCAAAGCTTAGTAAAGGATGCACAGTGAGACACGTTCAGAGGCAACCACAGGGTTATGGAATGCCCCATCCCTAAAGCAGGGCTGGGAAATCATTTTCAATCGTAGATGTGTAGGATCACACGCCAGCGGTGAGTGTGGCCACTCCACAATCTCTCACACATCACACGTGCCACTCATTCACCTACCCTAACTGCAGCATTTTGAGAGCTTAGCTCTCCCCTCCTCAACTGAGACTTGTGTCTATGTAAACAGAAATGGTGTAGCAATGGCTTCAACAATAACTGAGTATACTCTAGTAATTTTAAGTCTTAATTTTAAAAGGCAAAATCAATTATCTAAAAGTGAAAAGCATGCGTGAAAGAATTCCTAATTTGGAAAAGATTTTTCCAAACTTAGAAAGCTATTAAACACTACATCCTTTCACAATTCAGAACAATTAGTTGTGTTTTCATTTAAAAATAAAGACATGCAAACCCAAAATACTTTAGATACCTCGGAGATTTTCTGTAATACTTGAGGTAAAGTCATGTCCTCTGTAACTGGACAAGGAACCATTTCATGGGAAAAGGCAACAATATGGGAATCTTCTTCAGTGTGTGCAACAACCTGGTAAAATAATCAAACAAACAGGAAAGTGAAATCACAATGTTATTTCCATCTTTGGTTTTTAATTTTATGTTTTGGTGAAAAAACCAGAACGTGTCCTCTAACTCAGACATTCCATAGTCGCAATGCCAGAGAATCTCTTCCACTACCCCTCCATTAAGCCTTCTAGCCCTATCCACTCCCACAGGTCCCTCTACCATTCCTTCCCTCTTTCAGGCCACTTCTAAATTCTGAAAGGAAGTTCTGTGAAATAGCTCCTTTTTGCCTTGCTAGAAGACATTCTCAAGGGTTGCACCTTGTTCAACACATCTGATTTAACTAAGGAGGAGCTACTGTCAGAGTAATTGTGAAGATACTGCTATGGCTTGCACAAGAAAAAAGTGCCAGTGTTGCAGGCAGATGGGTTTTGTCATAGCTAGAGTGGCAGGCCATTCAGGAAGCAAGGAGATGATAGCAGCCTCCAGCGGTCCTCAAAATATTCTCAAGTACCAAAAATACTCAAAACCCAACAGCAGAGGTACCACAAAATGCCTGAGGATAGCACAAGGAAGAGTTGGCTCCATACTAGGGTTTGAATAACTGTAGTAGAAACCTCTCCAAAACATGTAGGATTATTTATATGCTTTCAGGATGATTATTTTTACATGATCAATAAATATGGATGCATTTGAGTTTCCTCTAAATAGTTGTCGCTCATCCTTTAAAGTTTGTGTTTTGCAAATCTTTTATCTGTGACGCCACAGGGCAAGACACCTTAAGGGGGTGCAAGCACCTCCCATATTCCACTATAAATCTCCAGGTGTGATTTAATTAGATCTGTAGGCCGAGTACGTGTTCAGGCCTGAAAGAACAAAGTCACGCCACACTGAAATTGAGTCCAAAGAAACTGCCAAGACTGGGACATCTCTTACCATACACATTGCTGCAGCAACTGTATTAGCATTCAGCACACTGCCCAAAACCTTTTGGAACATAGAATCGCTGACATCGATTGCAAGTAAGAAACGCTTCTCTGTTGGCTCTACTGTCTAAAGGAAGTGAGGAGGGACAGAACAAAAGTCAGAAAACGTAGTGTTCATGCATATCTGTTTTTACTGCAGCTTTTATAGCATACTATTGTATGTCATATCAGCAGTGTCAGTCAAAGCAAACTCCTAACTTATAGAAACAGAACTAAGTATCCAAACAGTGCTTCAAGCCAAGGGTACACTAGGAATTCTTTGCAACCCACCCCTCGCAGCCAAAAACAAGACTTCGGGACACTCAGCAGCAAGTGGCCAGTCTCCAACAGATCAAGAAAGAAAGCAGCAGCAGCCTGTATACAGGAGGCAGTGATGCTCTTGTGGCTCTGGACCAGGAGATACTTGTTTTCAACATTCTTAGGAGCTTTTACAATCCTTTCCCTAAATCTGTAATACCAAATTCAGTATTTCCCTCAACAGAGACTGCCCATCTGACACCTTGCACTAGAAATATCCAAATTAACACACTGTTCAAATTCATACAATTTCCTACACCTACAAATTCATAGCAATTACTTTGAAGGTCTTGTAAAATGAAGCATCAAGAGCTTCCAAAATATCCTTGTCAGGTTGCCACTGGAGTTTTCCCCGATAGCCACGTTCTCCTTTGTAGGTTTCTAGTGCAACCAAAATATGGAATGGGTGTATACGAGCCTAGAAAAAATATATATGAATGTACACTTACAAAGATACTCAATGGACAAATCAAGTTCAAATATAAGCAACCCCCCATTCCTTTTCACAACCTGCAATTTCCATTGATTAAACACAAATCTGTAACTTGTATTACATTAAGTTGTTATTCCTTGAGGTATTCCTAGATAGGAAAAAAAGCATGGCCTTCCTAAGCTGGCTTCTAAGCACTGTAACCAAACTAATTATTCTAAAATGTGCTGTGACAAGTATTTTCTTCACTTCCCACCAAATAGGACTAATTCTTATATCAAGATGTACATGCAAAGTATATTACTTGTAGTCTTTTTAAACTTTTAAGATATCCAAGTAGATTTTACCTGCATGATCTGAGCTACATTACAACCTTAATGCACTTTGCCTCCTACCTCTATCATAATCTCCCAAAAGCCACATAGAAATCAAAAGCTTCATAGAAGAACCAAAATCTTTCCCCAAAAGGAGACTGCTTAACCACCTGTCTACAAACGCATTTCCATTCTTCCTGCAAAAGGAATTATCCCTTAAAATGCTACCCAATAAACTAACCAAATAAATGTTAGTCTGTGAAGCCCCCAACACTTCATTGCTTTCTATGAAGATGACTCCCAAAATCTCACTTGATCAACCATTTTCTTAAGACAGTTGTGGCACTGTAAAGAAGCAAGACCACACAGAACTCTTATTTTCCTAACCTTAACTCACTGTTCCATAATTCTAATTAACCTGAAAGTGGGTTCTTAAAGTGGAAATAAACCTCTCTTCAATGTCTATTACCCCTGCAGTCCAACACACCACATATTAATCAAGATCTAAAATGCAGAAATTTAAAATAATCATTGGTGTAAATGAGCATTGATTTTATGTCAGTAGACCAACTCAAAATATTACCATCTGGGTAGCTTTAGAATAATACATAAAGGTGCAATTCTATGCATATCTAGACAGAAAAAGAGCCTATAACTCCTAGCATGCTTGTTTTCTGTCTTAACATGCAGACAGAATTGTAACAAAATTTTTATACATTCTTACCTTTTTAAGAAGTTTTTCATTTCTCAATCTTTCACAGACTATTGTTACCTCTGGGCTTCCTGGTGCAAGTACAGAATTTGCTGTCATCTTTCCTAGATTCCTCAACATTGCTGTTAAGGGCATTTCTTGTAACAATGCTTTCCACACCTAATACAGTATGTGATTAAAGCAGCATGGGGGAAACAAGAAGACATCACAGTGTTTAAACATGAAAATCTAATTTCATTAGATAATTATTTAAGGGTCAACTAGACAAAATTAAATTAGTGAAGTATATATAAACACATTTTTTAAAAAAGACTAAGGTCATAATGCAAAGTACTAAAGTTTGTATAATATACTCACCTCTTTAGATTGCAAATGACTTGTCAGGAGGTGTTCCCTAACTAAACTAAACTCTTCTATCAAATGAATCACTTCCAATTCATCCTCAGTATGCTTCACCCTCTCCACTGCTTCCAAGTATTTTAATAGTTTTTCGGTCTCAGCAGAAAGCTTGTTTTCTTTATAGGCCTCCTGGACTTCCTTCCATCCTTTCATTACATACTTAGTGACTACAGCAAGGCCTGTTGAAAGAGAAAAAAAATATTTTCAGAAATTCTTACATAAAATCTTCTGAACAGTCTATTTTCAAAGAGAGGCATGTGTCCCAAAATTGCCAAGAACGTGATGGCCTCCAGAGAGTTGAATGAGTATATTTAGTTGTAATGTATATTTAGTTTGATAAAAGAAGTTTGGAAGATTAGAGAAATTGGTAATATCTCTGATTTGCCTTGATTTCATAGTGGGAAAAGGTAAAAAAGCAGAAGAGCAATACTTTTACTAAGCGAGAAGTACATATACATTTTTTCCACAAATGAAAGATCACTTTGCCCTATATCTGTAGGACTGCAGGAAAACCACAAGAATCCCTTTTTTTTTTGGCCAAAGGAAAAAACCAGGATAAAATAAACATGGCTCTGCTTTCAGTGATACATTATAGTTATCAATATACGTTAACTGAAAAAAGAGGCATGTCGCAAACTGGAAAGGATGATGCGGCTATCCAACAACCACAGTGTTACCCTGCATCATGGGAAACAGAATATACAATTCTAGTTTAAATTTAGTTCTCAAGCAAAAAAATTTTTTTTACTCTGTTCACTTTTTCAAGATGCAAGGGAAGAAAATGACAAAATCACATTCTACAAATATTAAGAACATTAAATAAGTTCCATTTGTTTATCAATAACTTAATTCATTTTAAAGGTCACTGAATTGATAGACATCCAGTGAACAGTAAAACTTGCTACCTTATCTTCAGAGACATAGAACTTTTACTTGCCTCATATCAACCAGAACAAGCTTGCAAGACTTGTTCAATCATCCAATCATTCCTTTTCAAATATTTTACTATGATATCCTCTTGTAGTTAAGAATCCAACGGAAAACATATGACATCTAAGAAGTGAGATGATCTGCACATAAGGAAGTAGGTCAAAACTGTCTCTCTCAATCTTCTCATAGGGAATTCTAGTTCAGTCCCAAAACTACCATTCCTGTTAGCACACCATCACCTATTACCCCAAGGCTGTTGTATATGAAACTGTTTAACTAGACCTGCTTTGCCCATCCTAACACCCTCCAGATGTTCTGGACTACAACTCCTATTATTTCAGGGCATCAAGACAAATAGGGCACCTGGTTTCTGGCTAAAGTACAGGACAGAAACTGCCTTCTTCACCTATGAGACAGAAATAGAGAAAATGATGGGGAAAAGGAAGCAGACCCATCCACCTCTTCTAGAGCTCAAGATAGCACTCTTCTAGATTACCTATGTCAGAAAAGTACAAAGTGTGGCCCGACAAGACTAACCTGCTGTAACCCACCTACTGCCACCAAATTCCACCCAGAGCGATTTGCCACTCCCTCCACCAGAGCACTACCAATGAGGTAAGGGGCAATTTCAGGATCATTAGGGTCTGTCAAGATCTGGATGAAACAGTTCTCTAGTAGAGAACCCTACTGACCTGTACGTAGAGTTTATGACTACTCTAGATTACACCATAAAAAACCAAATTTGCCACCTGGAATACACCTAGGGCAGTATTGATTCTAGAAGTTCGTATGAAAGCCAAACCTAGAAGTATGTTTTTCCAGCTTTGAATTCTAAACCAAAGGTTACCCTTTCCAGTTACAAGGAGATCTATTCAATGACCTGCATGGTTTGGGAACCTATCAGTTTGACTAGCGAACATAAGAAAACAGTTTGGAAATGTCAGCTGGTCTAGCATCTGGCAACCCAATTCCTTTCTGGGACTAGCTACAGAGTTTCTCCACTTTTCACTAGTATGCAGAAGTGGCACCAAAGTTAAGAAGGCCCAACTTCTACCATGTGCAAGCAACCTGACACTTAATAAAAATACAGTGACTCTTTATTGCAGCAGATCAGGTTATTCAAATCAGCTTTCTGAAGCCTGCAGCAAAGCCTACCACATTTATAGACCCCAATAAATCAAGTAGCTTAGACAGAGGGCATTGGCACATTGCTTTGTTCAAGAGAACATTCCAATGCTAGAATCCACAGTCACAAGTAGAGTTCAAATACAGAAATAAATTTCAAGTAAGAATCTCAACAGCAGGATTCAAGGCAGACAAGAATATACGATCCACAGAAAGTACAAGCAGTGAAATAATTTGGGAGATTAAGGCACTGTTTCCAGAAAAGGTTCTTCAGCCTCTGCACTGGCTTAAATACAGAGAATGAGATACTGAAGACTTCCTTTCGATGAACTATGGGAATCTGGCCCAAAACACAGTATCTCTCTCAAGCTGGCCCATAAACCTGGGTGACGCTCCCTGCAGAATCTTCCTCCTCCTCTGTTCTCACAATCCCAGGCTATAAATCAGAGGCCTCTCAAGCCTGCCCCTTGTAGCTGCAACTGATAGGGAATACCATCCTCCTTCGGCCTGTAATCAGATGGAAAGCTAGGCAAAACTAAGCTCACAAGCTCTTAGCGTCCTATGGCTCTGGACTGGGTTCTGAATATCCTGGTCAAATGCTGAATCACACTCTGCCTTTGTGCTACAGGACACACAGAGGTGCTTGGCCTAAACGCAGCAAGGCCGCCCACTAAGTAGCAATCCACCAGGCCCACTACACTGACAATTTTATCTAATTAGTAAAAACCGGCCAGAAAGACCCACTGGCTGTATCCTTGCCGAAGGATAGATATTTCCATTGGTACATCTACATTTTGGGAGAAGGTTGACAGTTTTGAACTTAAGAAAAAATGTGTATCTATTACTCATGTTTTGCTGATTTATTATTTGTTAACTTAAATTTATATCACTGCCAGCCTGTATCTTGAGTGGGGTAGAGGGATAGACTGAGAGAAAAGAGCAGGGGAGGCTGCTAAAACATCTACTTTGGGGTCCCAATTAGGAACTTGCACCAGAATATAAAAAGAGAGTAACTCCCAGATACTGAACCTGGCCTTGGGTGCCAATTCAAGGATTACACATGTGTCAAGCTGCAATCCTATGAACACTCGCTTGGGAGTAAGTCCCCTTTAGGAAGTGGTACTTCTACAGAATGTAAAGATGCTTAAGTCTGCTCATAAATACACAAAGGAAGCAACTGGGAAAAAGAGAAATATATGTTGTCAACTTTGAATTGTGTAGTTATACTCTGTATCCTATCAATCTGCCTGAACTAGTTAACAACTATCCCAACCAAGAAATATAAATCACTACTTTGGGTATTATCCGCATCAGAATATACACAATTATTTCAGTTCAAATGTTCAGTTTAATTCCTGCACATTTACTGCTTACAGAAAAATATCAAGGTTAGGATAAAAAAAACTATGTGAAAGAACTAGAAATGGACAAACCACCTAAAAAACGATTCCCTTCATTTGACAGTAGAAAATCTATGCACAAATGTACACAAGAATTCTAAGAGAAATAAACCTTTCTGCATTCTGTTCAAAATTTATTTTATTAATATGTCAAGGGCTGATTTTCCTGTCAGTTAAATTCACAGAACCATCTTTTTCCTATAAGTGTTTGAAATATGGATCTGTGCCCCAAACATTGCATTTATGCAATTATTTATATGCCAAAGTAACTTCCAAAAGTGTGCCCATTTCTGTTATGTCAATAGAAGGAATGACAATTCCCCAGCTTCATGTAGGGTTTCCCCTCCTTCCCCTCTCACTCTTATTTAAAGAAACTTGTAGGAAAAACAGTTTACTACAAACCATTCTCAGTTGTTACCTTCATTCGCAGGCTTTAAATGTGACAACCTGAGGAGATCTTTGTGACACCAGCCATTTCTTTTCTTATATTTTGTCACTGCTAAGGCAATTGCCATGTCATTCTTGCCATTGTACCAATCCGCAACTGCTTTTCTTAGCGCACGACCCCACATGCCGCATTTCATTCCCTCCTTTAGATCCTTTTTAAATTGGATAAAAGTGAAGAGATGGGTCGGTATGTGACAAACTTCAGGGACAGCCTTATACGCTGCTTGTTTTGTTTTTGCATCAGAACATTGTGAGCAAATAGCAAGTGCAAACAATACAGGCTTCTGTTTGGCTGCCCTGCCTTCCTGGCTGAACGTCTTTATTTCTTGTACCACTTCACAGCCTTTGCCATCTTCAATAAGTCTCAGCAGAGCACTTGCATTTTCAAAGCCTAATTTCTGTTCCTTGATGTAGTAAGTTCCTCCTTCAGAACCAAAACACAAGAAACGGCGCAATCGATTCATGTCCGTAACTTGCCATACATGTCCACCTTCAGAGTTTGGTACCTGCTTCTCATTGCAGGGGAGCATTTGACTGCCTGCTTCTTCCATTGCTTGTTAATCTCAGGAAGTCTCCTGAAATAAAATACATATAATTAGTATGTAAAAAGAAACATGCATGTGAAAATTCTTCTCAAAAATACATGAGTGGTATGGACACGGTTATAAAGATGTGCTGACTTTTACAGCTATGTCATAAATCTGAGATATTCAGCTACCAACTATTCAATATCAAATCTAAAATATGCAACTCCCATATCTGTAAAACAGAAAAAAGAAAACTTAGATGGGATTCGGGATCTGCCTGCCACGGCTGCCATGGCAGCTGGGGATCCAATGCTCAAAGACATTTCTGCTCATATTTCAGGATGTGCCCTCCTACAACTTCACACCCCACCCCATTCAGTAGGCTCCCCCATTCTCTGTGTAGCACTTTCTGAGGGCTGGAAACTCCATCAGGGGAGTACAGGCCAGGAAATTCTGTCCAACCAGCTGCACACCAGATCCAATCTATTGAAAATTATCAAGTGTTAAAAAAAGACCCTTAAACCAGTATGAATGCATGCATAAAACAGTTTAAGCATTAGAATGCTAGCTCTCACTGGATGACTGCCATGTTTTTCTTATGTTTAATGCACAAGTCCAATAAAGCATAAGTTATGAAAGCAGAACAACACAGAGCAGATTCCATCATGACATTGCACCTTTCCCCAAGTTGGTGCCTTCTAGATTATTTGAATATAACTCCCAGCATTACTGACCATTAGACATTTCGGTTGGGGCTGCGGGAGGTTGGGCCATGACATCTGGAGGGTACCAAGTTGGACAAGGTATTATAAGGATGTTTTCCTGATTACAAGCACAATTATTGTATTTCCTTCCAACAGACGATAACATTTGTTAATTGTGCAGAACTTTATACTCCAGTGCATCACTTATTACTACTGGCAAACAAAACATCAGGGAGGCTGTATAAAGTTATATAAGGCTGTGATGTCATAATTCTATCTACTTTTGCTATTCTAATTTCATAATCCGTTATTTAAAACATAATATTTAAAACATAATATTCTAAATGGGATTCTTATGTGCATGCTTTGATTGGGTGGCTGAAAAAAATAGTTCCATCAAGACTGAAGAAACACTAAAGATATTCAGGTAATAGCTTCCCCTTCTTCATGTAAAAATAATTGAATTCCTTCTTAGCCAGGCCTCCTGGGGATGGTGCTAACAGGTAGAAATCCAGGAATTGTTACATATCTATTCCTGATATACTGACTAGGGAACATGAAGAATTGTAGGACTTCCTCCCAACTAAACATGCATTGGATTGCAAGTTTGGACAGAAAAAAGTGTAGTTTCCAGCATACCTCAGCCATCCAGGAGTCGTAAGCCTTTCCTCTGTCTAAACTTGCACAGGATTGCACCCTACTTACTCTTCCATGGGATGTAGAACTATGTCCTGCCAGGAAATTACTGCTTCCAGGCAAGATATAAACTACGAACTTTTACTTTAGCATTACCTGTTGTTGGGAAATCCTTGGGAGAGAGGTGGGGAAATCCTCTAGTCTATTCCATCAATTTTAAGTATAAATCTTAGTGGTGGACCAGTTCCAGTGAAATTAAATTGTCAATGTTTTCTTAACAGAAATTAAAACCAATTAACTCCAAAGTCATGATAATATTCTTAGGGAGCAAACCAATGCTTTTTTGCTTTAGATGTGTTTAGGCCTCTGAATTCAGAGACTTCCGCGTATTCAAAGCTCAGAGGTGGCTGCCTCCATACTAGATGCTACATCTTTTGTCTAGAGGACCATTTCCAGCCATCCAGACCAAGCAACAGGGAGAGGCAGCGGCTGAGGTGCTGAGGCAAGCAGGGTTAGCCCAACCTCCTCCCCTTCCTGCTGACAGCATGCCCCTTTTCATCCTCTCCGAGGATGTGACCTGGGGAAGCAGTCAGTGTGGTTCTTTCCGTGCCAGGTGCAATCAGGGCCAAATGGGGTCTACGGGCTTCAGAGGTCAAGCTTCATGGCTGCAGGGCTTCAGAGCTGGTGTGCCATGTATTCCTATCCACCCAACCAGGCAATGTCAGGAGGCCATGGGATTATGTCCGGTACAGCATACCTGCTTAAAGCTATTTTTAAGCCAGAGATTCTATCTTGCCTATCAAAAAGGCACCGTGCTAGCAGGTGAGTTCACAAACTAAATACAAATTCGATATACATCAACAATATACAGACACTGTAGTTTATGACTACGTATTTCATTTCTGTCACATTCTTCTTCCAGTTTGCTCAGCCGGGGTCGGGGTCGGGGGTGGGGGCGGCACGAACTTGTTCAGTTTTATCTGGCGGCAATAGTTCTGAGAAAAGGGAGCGATCCAGCGCATGCACGCGAGGAGTGCAGGAGCCGTGGAGAGGGTGCATGTGTGACCGAGGCAGACCCAAGTGGGAGTGCTAGGAGAGAGCGTGTCCGTGCGTGAGAAACACGGGGTGTGCGCGGGATTCTTCGTGAGGCTGCGCTTGGGAGCGTGAGTGTGTGTGCGGGCGAGCCGGCGAGTGAGAGAACGGCGCGCGAGAGCGCCGGAGGAAGGGGCGCCCGCGTGGGTGGGTGTGACCGAGTGTGCGTGCGCGGGAGTTGTCCAGGGAGGCGCGCGCGAGCGAGCCTGCGTGAGCAAGGCCGTGCGCGCGAGGCAGAGGTGTGGCGAGGCGGCGTTTGTGAGTAGGCGCGTGCGCGTGCCGGGGAGCGAGTGTGAGGCTTCGCGAGCGCGAAAGGCTGCGCGTGTGGCGGAGACAGAGGCCGCGAGCGGCCTTGGCGGGCCCGAGCTCCGCCCTGCACGCCGAGCGGGGCGCCGGCGGATTCCCGTCCCGGCGGCGAGGGCGGGCGGGCGGCCGGCCCGAGCGGGCTCCCCGGAGCAACGGGCCATACCTGCGCGGCGGCGGCGGCGGCAGCCCGGGCGGCTTGCGGAGCGCGGCCGAGGCCGCCGTGCGGCGGGGAGACGGCTCGAAGGCGTACGCGTCTCCGGGCCGTCCTCGCGGCGCGCTCCTCCCCGTCGCGCCGCGGCGGCCTGACCACTTCCCTCGTGCCGGAGGGTGGACCGGATGCAGCGGCTCGGCGGGGCCGCCCTGCCTGCCCGGGCGACGGGAGTCCCAGGACCCGGATGTGGCGCCCCCTCCCGCTTCAGGCAGGCGCGCCCGCCTGGTCCCCGCGCGCACGCGCACAACGCCTGGGCACCGGCGAAGCCCCCGGTTCGTGCAGCTCGGAAGCGCAGCGGGGGCGTCGGGAGGGGGTCCCAGATGTTGACACTACAGCTCCCAGCATTCCCGGGTGCGGGCAAGAGCTGTCCGGAGCGGAATTTGAAAGCCAGGGCTGGCACAGGGGCCCCTAGGCGGCACTCCTATATACACGTAGCTGGGGATGGCAGGTAAACGCATCGCGTTAGGTTGCAGGAATGCAACCAGTTGAACTTGAGTCGGAATCGTTCCTTAGGCTTCGGAAGAATCACAAAGCACACCAGACCACAAAACACCAAGCTCACTGAAACTAGAGAAACGCCCATAAATCAGTGACTGCTAATGGGTAGGAAGCACGCTGCCTCTGGTTTAATGACCTGGTAGCTCCAGTGAGGACTGGAGGAGAGCCGTGCCTTACAGTGCACTTCTCCAACTTGGTGCCCTTTGGATTTTCGCACTTCAGTTCCCATCATTCACCAAAGATCAGGGATGGTGGGCGTTGTAGTACAAAATTCTGGAGAGCACGTGAATCTTCATAAGGCTTTAAAGCAGCCTTCCTCATCACTCCTTACTAATTGACAAGATAGTTCCCCCGATCATATTCGATAGAAACAACTCTATTATGTACAGTGATGAACAGAGAGATCCTTCCGGTTAAAAGCCAAACTCTGGGAAACTGCGCGAAGTCAGAGGACGAGACATTATAGAGACTAGGGGATAGAGCGGCCATTTATTTCGCAGCGTGGTGCCGCTGCAATCTAAAACAGGAAATGACGTTGGTGCCCAATCGTGCCTTTCTTTCCTTCTTTCGAAGAAGGGACCAATCGCTTCGCCCTCCGGTCGCGCGGCTTGGGTATCTGGTTGGCTTCCCGTGGCCTTCGCCTGCACCATCGAGATGACGAGAGCGCCGCCGACATCGAGGCGGCTGGCCGCAAGGGCCGTCGGGAAAGGAGCGGCGTGCCGTGCCGTGCCGTGCCGTGCCTCGCGCTGCGCTCCGCGCGTCGGGTGGGCTTGGCGGGCGGCGCGCGGCTGCCGCGGGCGAGAGCGGCGAGGGCGGTCCGGAGCGTCTGCGCGGGCGGCCCAGTGCGAAGCCGCCGCGGCCGCGGTTCCAGCGCCATGGCGGGCGGAGGCAGCGCCGGCGAGTGGTGCCTCATGGAGAGCGACCCGGGAGTCTTCACGGAGCTCATCAAGGGCTTCGGTGAGGTGTGGGCTGCGGGCTGCGGGCCCCTCGTCGAGGCCGCGGGGAAGCTCCGCGGGAGAGTCGGGTGCCCCGGCCAGGACCGCAGAGCGGCGGAAGGCTGGACCACTAGGATGCTTAGCCTCCGCTTCCGAAAAGCCTTGACGGAGGGAGGATCTCTGAGCATGTGCGGAGCGCCTCCCTTTCCTTAAAGAGAAACATTCCTGATGGCTGTGTTTAAAACCTGAGGACAACGAGCTGTGGGGCATATGATGGAAAATGTTAAGTCAGTAGTAAAACACATTTTGCAGCTAGTAAAAAATGCAAAACAGGAACGCCCTCTTGTTATTTTCCTAGCACAGCAATTAGGGTGGAAGACAAAATGCTGGCTGGCAAATCTAGTTGGTTTACATCTGCCAGAAAGGCGAGTCAATTCTGATTTTTTAACTGCCCATTTATTCTTAGGTCTCTGTGACTCGACTGTTTGACATGGGCAAGGGGAGCCCAAGTTCAAATAGTCAGGGCTGCTTGACATATTACTGTGATTTTAGCTTTTTGCCAATGGCTAAGGACCATTTCACACGTGACACAGCAAGTTTGTTACCAAGCTACAGCCAGTCTGTGTATACAAATATTCCTGTATGACAGATGTGTGTTGGTTCCCTTTGCACCTGTTTATCTGTTTTAAAGTGTAAGTTTAACACATCATGGATGCAAACAAAATGCATTTAGTTGAGTGATACATATAGTACTTTATAGAAGTGTTACATAAACATGTAGTTTGTGAACAACAAAAACATGCATTTGCAATGTGCATCAGACAGATAAATAGGCCTGTAAAGGAATCAGAATTGGCTGCAACTCCATTCCTGGATTTCTGCTTAGCTGCCTACCTGGATTGCATTCCTTGTGAGGTGTAAAGTAGTCCAGGTGACTTCATAAGTATTGCCACCTGAGTTAACCTGTCTTTATGATTTGTTGTGAGCCTAAGCATCTATCTGAGCTCTCTGAAAGATGGGAGGAATTAAAATTGTCTAATAATTAGTCCCAAGAGGATGAGTAATAGCATCTGCCAATGTGACAGAACCTGCTGCTGCTTTTGCAATTGGGGGAGCTGAGTCATCAAACATGCTGCTAGGTGTGCTCCATACGGTCTCATTGTTGTATTCTGCTCTAATTCATTCAAAATAATATATACTTGAGTGCCTTTCTAGAATGCCTAACACAAGTTGTTCATCTGATTCTTGGATGGTGCATTCACCTTCCATGTAATATTTAATTCAACACTGAACTATGCACTGGAGTTGTGAGTTAATCAAAACAAATTCCAGTAAAAGAAAAGTACAACTTCTTTAGTTATTTGGTGCCTAAAGAAAATTCTGACTTTTATTACTTTGAATCAATCTGTGTCAAATAAATAAAAGCTATTTCAAATGTTGTAATGATTACGTCAGGTTCGGTTATACTGTGTGTATGTATGAATTTGTTTTGACCCAAAGAAGCACTTATCCCATCAGGTAAGTGCTTTAAAGGCAACCAGATCTGTTCAGATTGTTGTGTACAATTCTTGATTATTACAGGGTAGAGTAAAATGTGTTTTGTATTCATAGACAGCTTATATTTAGGGACCCTCATAAGGTGACTGTTTTGTAGCACTTCAGCTGTTTTGTTCACTTGCACAAATTTTGCTATAATTTGGGTAAATAAGGACAAATTTGTATTCTAAAAAGTCCAAAAGTAAGGTTGACATTATTCCTCTGCATTCATACAAAATCATTTGATTGAGGTGTCTGTTTTTACTTCATCATTTTTGCAGCTGAACTGATTTTTTGAACAAATAATTTAAGGCAATTTATTGTGGCTTATTTTAGGTTGCAGGGGTGCCCAGGTCGAGGAAATATGGAGTTTGGAACCAGAAAACTTTGAAAAATTAAAGTAAGTTTGTTTTTAAAGAATAATTTTTCTTCCCTCCCCTAAATGGTTGTCAACATAGGAGTGCCTAAAATAGTATCAAAGATAAAAGAAAAACAGTGGTTAGACCAAGCATTTAACTCCTGCCATCAGAAAAGCCCCTCCTGTCTTTGGAATGTGTCTGATCAAGTGGGGCATTTCTCCCAGTAGTACACAGGAGAAGCCATTTTTCAAGAATACCCACATTACTTTGTAGTCCTATATAATCCTCTAGAAATTAGGATATGCTCCACTGCAGCAAAGGAGATAGAGTTGGTCGGCAGCAGGACTGGGAATTAGGCAAAACCTCATCTCTCTATCCCCACTGGTGAGCATGGTTTGAACCGAATTCAGTTCAAGGGATGCTGCTACTGATGGAAGGAACCTCTGGAACTGATTCAATCTTTTCTCATTTGGAGCATTTTAATCTTTGTATGAAAAATTGCATTGAGGTATCTGTTAAGTAGTAACAGTTCTCATGAATCCTACTTACATGCAAAGTCATGTGTTTCCCTCAATGTGTATGCTATAGGGTAGAATGAGTTAGAAGTAGCATCTTACACATTCTTTAGAAGGGCAAATGTTTTGTCCTCTCATCTGCTGCTCAAGTCAATTGCTATTTGAAGCTTCTCATGACAGGTTTTAGACATGTTGGAGCATTGCTTTACTCTGCCTTTGTTGTGCTTTTCTTTTAATATATAGGCCAGTTCATGGATTAATTTTTCTATTCAAGTGGCAACCAGGAGAAGAACCAGCTGGCTCCGTTGTTCAGGATTCCAGATTAGATACAATATTTTTTGCTAAACAGGTATAGTAATTTGAGTGATTCCTTATATCCTGCAGAACAGTTTTTGCCTAAATATAGTGTGTGAAAATCACACACTCTGGATTATAATATAAGCAGAAAAGAAACCTAGCAAAACAGGTTGTTTTGTGACATTCAGATAAAAAATATCACAGGCGAGGAACCATAGGTTTGCATAAAGTGTGTACATGCAGTTAAATATTGGTTGTGGTCTTTGGCTTCTGTAAGTCTCGTCTGGAATAATGCCATGGTATACAAAGCTACTTCAGACTTATTTTGAAGGAAGAAGTTTCATGACCACTTCTGTGTAAAAATGCTCGTAAGTAAGTTTAGGCTGTGAGGCTTTTCAGCCAATTTATGGAGAAAGGATTTTAATCACAGGAAGCTGAACAGACACAGCTTTTCAAACATTCCTTACTTGGAAAGTGCTTTTATTCTCAGTTCACAGCTGTAATCCTTTCAGTATTCCAGAAAGAAATCCCCCTCCTTTTAGTATTTAACACAAAACAAGGTGCCTTGCTTTGGGTTGATTTGCTAGAATAAAACAGAGTCACATAACATAAATATGCTTCCAAAAGAAGTCTGTTTGTACAAAGTATTTTGGACCTCTTAAAAGAAAAAGAAAAAAAAATGCTCCCTACTTAAATTCACTCCTTTTGGGGAGTTCCATGAGAAATGTTTTCTTCCTTACAAACTCACAGGGCACTTAATCTTCTGGCATATTTAGAGATAAAGTGCTATTGCCAGAATTCCAGTTGTCATTCTGACCTTCCACCAGCAAGGTCACTGTATTTTTGGGAACTCTTACTTGCAAACATTCCAGTTTAGGTCAATTCCTTAGCAATGTCTTAGAGTGGAAGCATGAGAAAAATTTTATTTCATATTAAACTCACTTTATCAAAAACATGATTTTTATCATGAGAAGTTATTTTTTTTAAAAAATCTCTTTGCTGTATTATGTTTAATTTTGCCTTAGCAAATCTTGTGTTTTCTTCATTATCATCCTTTTTTCTTTTGAATCTTGTGAAGCAACAATTCCCAAATAAAGAAATCTTTTCTAGTGTTACATGTGATTAGATGTTGATACATGTCTAAATAATTTCAAAATGCCTCATTGAGGTCGAAAAAGAGGAGAGGCTCCAAGAAATTTTAAAAGTGACTTTTAAATTGCAAATCACTTTATTTAGTAGGAGTTTTACTGGGTTTTGATTATGATGACACAGTAATTTATTATGAAGAAAAATTCTCCTTAGTTGAGCAGTTCACAGAACTGCCACTTGATGGCACCAAAGCCATTCTGAAAAAAAAAATTGTATAGCTGTAGAGAGGAACCATGGAATAGTTTTTCAGGTTTCTTGGTCTCCACTATATTGTAGAAATTGTTGCATAAAACCCAGTTACCCTTTTGTTGGGAATTTTAATAGACTGAATTCTGCCATTCCTGTATTCTGTGATATACATTTAGACTACAATCCTATAAAGTGGAACTTAGTTCCCTTAGAACAATGGGGCATACTTCTGAGTAGGCTTTTATACAGTTGTGTTGTTACTGAGATACTATTTTACAAACATGGATGGGTGTTTGGGAATGGGACTCTGTGTGGGAAACCTTTCTGCCTTCATCTCCATGCTTCAGCTAGATGTACTCAGAGGTCTACTGAATGTTGAAGGGAAGGCAGTGTGAAGGAAGCAGGTAGTTGAAAGAAGCAGATGTTGAAGAAAAGTAGTGTGGCCAAAGGCATGCTGAATAAAAAATATTTACCTGCAAGCACAAGGAAGCAGAGAGGGAGCCAATCTGTCCAACTTGGGCAGGAACCACTAGAGCTTGCAAAGGGGCTACTGAGAAGGCCTCTTTCCTGGTTCTAACACCCCATGTGATACTTCTTCGAAACAGTCTAAAATGCCATCTAAATAGCATTTGTTGTCAAGTTGAATGAATATCCTGATAATCTTGTGGGATCTTTCCCTCCATGATATCATCCAGCCCACCAGCTTCATGGAGAGCAGGGTGGCTGCTGGATCAAAATAGGATGCCTATCTCTATGGTTCTTGGAACAAATTTCTGGCTCAGAATTCTTTAGATCAATTTGTATGGTTTTTGCATCAGATTGAAGGTTGGTACATCTTGAAGTTGTAGCAGGAAAAGAAAGGTGTAGCCCTTGAGTCTGAATTCTGCCCACCAGAGGTCTAGATGGTGCCCTGTTAAGTAAACCAGTGGCCTGACTTGATACAAGGCAGTGCCTGTGTTCACTCTTGAACACAAATGCACTAGAACAGTGGATTGCAGCCCAAATACACTTGTGCTAGACCATGACAGCCGTGCCCAACAGCATGTTCGTTGCTCCACACTGTACAGGCATACAAGTGCACAACCTTTCCCAGCCCATCAGGTTGATCACACTTGGCTGCCCAAGTTCCTGCTGACTTTCTTCTCCCCCTCCTTGCTGGTTTCGTGCTGGTGTCCCTGATCATTGCTTTCCCTGGCCACCTGCTGCTCTCAGTAGGCCTCCCCAGCTTACCAGAAAGGAGTCGTGGGAGTCCTTTCTCCTCCCTCCTTTCTTGGTCTCTACATATGCCATAGAACAAGACATCAGCCTGCTTCTGCCCACCATCTTAATTTTCTGAGAATGTCCCTGAGCCCTGAGTGTGACCCAAAGGTGTTAATGGGAAATGAAGATGGAAGCAGCTGGAGGCATTCGCTTGGGTTTGAAGTGGTCCCAGCTATTAGGAAGAAAATTGCTATTTTACTACTGTGATTTCCTCCTTTTCTTCTTTTTTCTTTCATTTTGGAGATTGCTTTTTACCAGTGGGACAGTGCAAGGAATGTCACTGGTTCATCAGCAGTTGTATGTGTGTGTCCGTGAACTGGCCAAAAGTGTATGCAAACATTTTCAGTAACTTCATTATTTGGTAGTTTGGAGTTGCACAAACGTACAACCCCAATTACTGAATTTGAAGCCTTGCCCAGACAGTGTTCTGGTAAGTGCCTTCTGACAAAGCAGGCAAAATCAATGGATGTTGACAAAGCCAGGCTTCAAATCTGTCACGTTGCTTTCATTTTGTAGACAACAAATGGTGAGCTGTCTAGTTAGATCCTCTAGTTTTAAGTATGTACCTGACAGGTTTTAGTGTCGTCTACCTTTTCCACTCTTTCTTGAGACTCTAGGTACTTGGGAAGGTGGGAAAGCACAGTCCACAATATTTACAAGTGTGCTTAGTTTTGACAGTGGTCAAAAGCAATGTTTTCTTTTTAAGTGATGGGTTTGGAAAGGGCAGGTACAGTCTGAAATCTGTATGTTGACCACGCAAGTTTTCAGATTTCAGTTAGCTGGAGTTTCACAACTCTGAACTACAAGCAAAACTAAAAAGAAAAAAATAGTCGAAACTTTTCCACACATTTCTAACACCAAAAGCAGGGTGGAGGAAGTATACCAGTAATGGTCCTTCTAATTTGTTGCTTCAGCGCAAAGGAGCTATCACTTTGGGGATTGTGAAAATTAATCCGCAAAAGGCAAGGATGCTGTAGCAACCACTAAAGGAGTCACAAACGGGGCAGGGAGAAGAGACAAAGATGGGTTGTTCTGCACACAGGGCCCTAGGAGAACTGCAGGAGGATTGAGCAGGAAGCGGAGGAGGAAACACCCCATGGTGAGCCCAGTTGTCTGTAGGGTACGCTGCGGGTTGTTTTGTGAACAGGACACAATGCATAGCCTATTGACAGGATGGGTTCCTATGTTGTGTATACTCTCTCATAGGCAGATCAATTAAAGATAATTGGTGAGGGTGATGGAATAGGAGAGTTCTAACAGATGGATTGTTGCAAAATTTAGGCTTAAATTGAAGCAAGCAGGAAAAAGCACTAGGCCACTCAGGTATGACCTAAATAATATCCCTGATGAATATACAGTAGAGGTGACAAATAGATTTAAGGAATTAGATCTGATGGAGTGCTTGAAGAACTGTAGACGGAGGTTCGTAACATTGTACAAGAGGTAGCAACTAAAACCATCCCAAAGAAGAAGAAATGCAAAAGAGCAAAATGGCTGTCTGAGGAAGCTTTACAAATAGCTGAGGAAAGAAGGGAAGCGAAAGGGAAGGGAGAAAGAGAAAGATACACCGAATTGAATGCAGAATTCCAGAGAACAACTAGAAGAGATAAGAATGCTTTCTTAAATGAACAGTGCAGAGAAATAGAAGAAAACAATAGAATAGGGAGGACCAGCGATCTCTTTAAGAAAATTGGAGATAGGAAGGGAACGTTTCATGCAAAGATGGGCATGATAAAGGACCAAAATGGCAGGGACCTAACAGAGGCAGAAGAGATTAAGAAGAGGTGGCAAGATTACACAGAAGAACTATACAAGAAAGAGCTTAACGTCCCTGAAAACCACGATGGGGCGGTCACTGACCTCGAGCCAGGCATCCTGGAATGTGAAGTCAAATGGGCCTTAGGAAGTCTGAGCAACAGCAAAGCTAGTGGAGGTGACTGTATTCCAGCTGAGCTATTCAAAATTTTAAAATACACTGCAGTAAAAGTGCTACACTCAATATGCCAGCAAATTTGGAAAACTCAACAGTGGCCACAGGATTGGAAAAGGTCAGTTTACATTCTGATCCCAAAGAAGGGCAAAGCCAAAGAATGTTCAAACTACCACATCATTGCACTCATTTCACATGCTAGCAAAGTGATGCTCAAAATCCTACAAGCTAGGCTCCAGCAGTATGTGGACCGAGAACTACCAGAAGTACAAGCAGGATTTCGAAGAGGGAGAGGAACTAGAGATCAAATTGCCAACATACGCTGGTTCATGGAGAAAGCTAGGGAGTTCCAGAAAAGCATCTGCTTCATTGACTGTGCTAAAGCCTTTGATTGTGTGGATCACAACAAATTGTGGCAAGTTCTTAAAGAGATGGTAGTACCAGACCATCTCATTTGTCTCTTGAGAAACCTATATGCGGGTCAAGAAGCAACAGTGAGAACTGGACACGGAACCACTGATTAGTTCAAAATTGAGAAAGGAGTTCAGCAAGGCTGTATACTGTCACTCTGCCTATTTAACTCATATGCAGAGCACATCATGAGAAAGGCGGGCCTAGATGAATCACCAGTTGGAATTAAGATTGATGGGAGAAATATCAACAGCCTCGGATATGCAGATGATACCACTCTCATGGCAGAAAGTGAAGAGGAACTAAAGAGCCTCTTGATGCGGGTGGAGGAGGAGAGAGCAAAAGTTGGCTTGAAACTCAACGTTAGAAAACTAAGATCATGGCATCCGGTCCTATCACTTCCTGGCAAATAGATGGGGAAGAAATGGAAGTAGTGACTGATTTTATTTTCCTGGGCTCCAAGATCACTGCAGATGGGGACTGCAGCCAAGAAATTAAAAGACGCTTGCTCCTGGGGAGGAAAGCTATGGCAAATCTAGATAGCATACTAAAAAGCAGAGACATCACCCTGCCGACAAAAGTGCATATAGTCAAAGCTATGGTTTTCCCACTTGCAATATATGGCTGTGAAAGCTGGACCATAAGGAAGGCTGATCATTGAAGGATTGAGGCATTTGAATTGTGGTGCTAGAGGAGACTCCTGAAAGTCCCTTGGATCGCAAGGCTATCAAACAGGTCAGTGCTAGAGATCAACCCTGCCTGCTTTTTAGAAGGCCAGATACTGAAGATGAAACTTGTATTTGCCACCTAATGAGAAGGAAGGACTCTCTGGAGAAGAGCCTAATGCTGGGAACAATAGATGGCAAAAGAAGAAGAGGATGGCAGAGGACGAGGTGGCTAGATGGAGTCACCAAAGCAGTTGGTGTGAGCTTAAGTGGACTCTGGGGGATGGTGGAGGACAGGAAGGCCTGGAGGAATGTTGTCCATGGGGTCGCGATGGGTCGGACACGACTTCGCGACTAACAACAACAACAGATGGATTCCTGTGTTTCCAGGGATAAAACTCAGTACCACCTTGAAGGTCTCAGACTTACTTTACTCACATACTTAGCAGTGCAAGAGAATCACCAACACTTTTTATAATATCAAAATCAAATTCTATCTTTTTTCACCAGTGACTGATAATTGACCAACATTTTCCTATGCCTCAGCTTACCAGCTATGAAACTTTCCTAATCTGATTTCCTGTGATTTAGTCCAGTCCCTTTTTCTTTGGCAATTCTGAAGAGATATCTCCTCCCTTGTATATATGGAAAATGTCCATACCACCTTGTTGTGACCACAATTCTGAGATGGTTATTTTTCTTTGAATGCTCTTTCTTAGAAAGCCTACGCAACATCAGTCATCCTTATGCATTTGATGGCCATTCAAATATTATTGGAATTATTGTTGCACTGCATTTATATCTGGCCCTTTCTCTTGTTAGGAGCCCAAGCCAGCGTCACCTAGTTTTCCTCTGCTTCATTTTTATCCTCACAACAACCCTGTGAAGTAGGGCTGGCTGAGAGGCCATGACTGGCCTAGAGTGAGTTTCCTGGCTCCCAGCCCAACTCTAACCACTGCACCATACTTGACCTGTTTTAATACATAGCTTGATTACCCTGCTTTCTCTTCAAGGCTGTGATCCTGTACACATCTACCTGGGAATACACTGAGCTGATCTCCGCAAGGCTTATATTTGAGCAGGCGTGCATAGCATTGTGCTTTAATTACAGCACAAGCCTTTGCCACTGGTCAGGTCAGAAAATGGCTTCACTTTCACTTCGCTGGGTCTGCATGCTCAGAGCGCCCTCTCCCACCTCTCAGCCAGCATGACAAGGACTACACCAGCTGCCTCTCCGGGGTTGCAGGAGCAGCCTCTGGGACAGGGATGGAGGCACTCCAGGGCACAGGGTGGGGAGGAGACAGGGCCCTACAAGATATAACATAGCAGGGAGGGCCTCAGCTTCCTTCCCCCCTGCTTCAGAGTGCCCCAGTCGGCTGTCTAGATGAGTGGCAGAACAGGAGGCCCACAGAGGCAGCCTTCCGTGTTGCCATCCTCCTCCTCCCCATAAGATGCCCACAATCCATTGTGAGCATCCCAGTCAGATTGCAACCTACATCGCCACTTGTTCCTCTCAATTGGCACTGACCCTGCTGGCATTCTCTCACAGCTGAATATACTCCAGGGAATATTTGCATTTGTTTTCTAGGCCAGTGGGAAGCAGCTGCAAAGAAAGGCTTTGCTGAGTGTTCACTGTTGTAAGGATTTTGTTTTTTGTTTTATTTTTTGGCCAATATAATATTAAGGCAGAAAGGACAGATTGACCCTGTAACTTTCCCAATAATTATATTATTCCTATTAGTATTCTATTTCTCTCCTGCCTTTTTCCTCTTGTAAGAAGGCAACTTTCATAGCTCCATTTTATGCTTACAACAACCACCCTGTGAGGCAGATTGGGCTGAGAATCTGTGACTGGCCCAAGTCACTTAATGAGCGTCATGGGCAAATTGGGACTAAAACTGGTGTCTCTCTGGTGCCCAGTCCAGCACTCTAGCCAGCATGGCGAACCACCTCTCCATTTAGTCTGTATGTCCACCTAAAGTACTTCTTTGGATGCTGTCCTATATGTGTGTAAAAGTTTGAAGGTAACATAAGTTGGTAAAAGTCATACAATAAACCCCTTCTAAATAATACCATCAGAAAAGAACCTTTAATTATGCAACAATATGTTTTGTGTACCTGCTCATCTGTCAAGGTCACTTAGGACAATAATCTACAGTTTCAGCAAAGCTGCAAGGTGCTTTGTTATACCAAATTGGTTTGTGTATGTTTACAAAGTGTGGAAATATTTATTTTAAGTGGATATGAGTGCAACATGCAGGTATAGAGCAGGTTTTACTACTTTGGAGTTTAAACAAGAGGCTATGGTGAGTTGTTGAAACTGTATAAGTTGATTTAAGCTATTTTTTCTGAATTTTTCATACCTCTTTTCAGGTAATAAATAATGCGTGTGCAACTCAAGCCATAGTAAGTGTGCTATTAAATTGTACCCATCAAGATGTCCATTTAGGAGAAACACTATCAGAATTTAAAGAATTCTCTCAAAGTTTCGATGCAGCGGTATGTGAAATGATTCTATTTTAATTTTTTAAAAGCTTCTTCAACACAATCATCTAGTTGAATGAATTTCTTGTTTTACATTTAGATGAAGGGCCTGGCATTAAGCAACTCGGAAGTGATTCGGCAAGTCCACAACAGTTTCGCCAGGTAACAAGAAGTCAGGTGTTTCTCAAATCCATTCTTCAGCAATGCTTAGTATTAACTTCCATTCTTGACTTTTGCTTGCCTTTAGACAGCAAATGTTTGAATTTGATGCAAAATCAACAGCAAAAGAAGAAGATGCTTTTCATTTTGTCAGCTATGTCCCTGTACATGGAAGATTATATGAACTGGATGGTCTGAGAGAAGGCCCAATAGATTTAGGTAACATTTTGGTTTCACCTATATAATGCCATAACTGTGTCTCATTCATGATATATAACTTCATGTGTTATATTCTGAAAAATAAAGAATATGTCTGTTCAACATGCAGAGTGTTGTTCACAATAGTTGGTGTTTTCTGACTGAGGGTGAAGAGTTTTGCTTTTGGGCAGATAGAATAAGAAATAAGACATGGTTCGGTTTAAATAATTTAAAGATATTTAAAAATTAAACCTAAATAAATATTATAAGTCACAGGAGTGTAGATAGCTCTGTAGGCATTATCCTCTACTGCTGCAGCACTCCTGTTGTTTCTCTTGAGCATGACTTATAAGAGAAACAGGAAGCTAGTGTTTCCTAAAGCAATCCTGGAAATGAGTAGAAATGCTAGCTGCCAGGATAGGTCAGTAGAGCAAGGAGCACTGACCTTCCCCATTCTGGAAATAAGCATTTGGGCTCATTGCTATTCGCATATCAGTTTCATTGCTAGTTTCTTATACTGCCAGTGTGCAGGCCACATCGCATGCTGCCCAGAGAGTCAAGATTCAGTAAGGAAAGCAGGGGAAATAATTGTCTGTAAAATATTATAGTCTTAAACTCCACGTCTTTTATAAGCCTCCTTCCTACTGAATTCAGCATTGGAAGTTTTCTGAATCTGTTAATTCAGATCATGTATGTTCCAAAATAATCAGGAACAACCAAAATGGGTTTGCTTTAACAACTTTGCTTGGAGAAAATAACTTAAAAAAAAAACTGTGTACTTTTCAATATCAAAGCAAATTATTTTAATTAATTGAATTGTTAATATAAAGCTGCTGTGTCTATTAAGTTAACTCAGTGGTGTTCATTATTTTAACAGTTTTGGCAATTATGATAATATTCTGTAAGATTGGTGTTTTAAAAATATTGTTTATGGTATTTCTTGTGTTTAAATATTGATTCAAAATTGGTGGCTTGGATCTGGAGCTCTTGGGAAATATCAGCAAAGTTCTTTATGCAGCCTACCCTTATTTTGCAGGGATTTTGTTGCATAAGTTCATTCTGAACTTCGGTGCAATTCTATGAAGGATTATTAACTTCTGTATTTCCCATTTAGGTGTGTGCAATCAAGATGACTGGATCAGTGCTGTAAGGCCTGTCATAGAAAAACGAATACAAAAGTAAGTCCCTGGCTCTATCTAACATACTGCAAAATCCCTGCGTTTAGCCATAACACACTGTGACTTATAGGCCATGTTCGGCCTCGACTTGTATAGGATTGAACCTTTAAACATCTTGCTGTAAATTAGCTTAATTTTTATGCAAATAATTGAAAACTGTGTAGATAGAGTTACTGGAATCCTGTCACAATGTATTTAGCTAGAGTATATGTTTTACATACCTAGACACTTGATTATTTCCTTAGCACATAGGGAGAGGGTGACATGTCATCCCTCTATTTGCAAGCTACTGGATAGCCACATTTGCTCTTGATAAATGTGCTGGGCATCTTAATTTTGTTTCTCATATCATGTGAAAGTGCCCAGATAGCTGTGGGGCTCATTTTGCGGCCATGTCAGTATGCGACTACCCTGTTTTTATTTTCCAGGTACAGTGAAGGTGAAATAAGGTTTAACTTGATGGCAATTGTATCTGACAGAAAAATGATATATGAACAGAAAATTACAGAACTGCAGAGACAACTTGCTGAGGTGTGCTGCCACTTGAATAGATTGTTTCCACAAAATGGTTACAAGGTTAAGTGACTGCCCTGAGTGCCTCTGGTGTTACAGTATTCTTGAAGCGAAGTATGTTGGGTTAATCAGTTAGAATCAACAGGGAGTTTCATGTAAAAGTGGGAGAGTCATGCAATACTGACATGTTTGTATTAGGCTTGGCCAAGATGAGTTTGTTATGTTCCTCAGAGGAAAATGTTGCTAGACAAATCTGCATTGAACAGACTTGTCAGTGTGAGTGAGCTAACTCTGCTTTTCCTTGATTCCTTGTACATAAAAAATAAAATATTAAAAGCAATTACAAAACACTGCAGAAACAAATATCAGTGCACTTTAACAAGCATCTAAAACAAATACTAGAAGATGATGTAGCAATGAGAACACTAGCATGAGAGTGTGTTGTTGCTTGAACTGTAGCTGTACATGTGCTTTTAGAGTTAATTATTCAGAAATAGAATGGATTACAAGACATCTTCCTGCTTATTTTAAGAGGGAGCTTTACATGGGAGCCTGCAAAGCTTTGTTTGGGGCTGCTTTTTGTCTATTAAATAATTTCTTTTATGTGATAATTTGTTAGAAGGGTGCTGCTTAATTTGAAAAGCTAACATGTCTCCGGTTATTTTTTCCTAAAAGGAAGAGCCCATGGATACAGACCAGACCAGTAATATACTAAGTTCTATTCAGTCAGAAGTTGCGAAATATCAGATGTTAATTGATGAAGAAAACCAAAAATTGAAACGGTACAAGGTATGTGAGGTTCTTCCCCTGAACAGTTGAAGAACAAACACTAATCTTCTGTTTCGAACTCCAAGCTACATGGCTGCGTTGGTCCCACTGAATGTGAGGCAAGCAGGTAAAACTCAGAAAATTTTGAGTTTTTGTATAATGGTTCTTCGTGTGGTACACAAAACAAACGTCAGCTTAAATGATCCTTATGACCGGGGTGAGAGTGATTGAGCTGCCTTTTGGAACTGAGGAGCAGACAGCTGATTATCTACAGCAGATAGCTAAGGCTCACTACCTAGAGGAGCACTTTCAGGCTTCTTTTGGGGACTCCTTTCTGCACTGACTTCTCTGAGGAGCCCCCCCAGTTGGAAAATACCAGTTCACATAGAATGGGCTTCTTGGCTGCCCAGTATCCTGCATCTGCCTTCCAGGGCCCGTTTGGTAGTGATGCACAACCTGTCTTTCAGGGAAGCTTTTCCATCAGTACTGATGTTCTCGCTGAGGGACCCCCCGATCAGTTTATAAGGAATCTTGTAGTTTCCCAGAGCACAATGTGGAAATCACTGGTGGGGTAGTGAGAAAGAGAGACAGGCAAGGAGGAGCTTAGAATTTCACGTGTCTTGAAAGTTTTCAGAGGTATCCTAATAAAAGTTAAAATATGCATCTCAGAAAGTTGGGTTAATAATCCTCGGGAGTAGGAAGGCATTTCATGTAAGTTTCCTTGCCTTGTATTTCAAAGCAATTTTGCATTAGAAATGATTCAGCAGGCCTTGGCTGATGTTAACCCAGCAAAGCTGAGTTTCTTCTTGATAGTAAGAGGGTAGTGTCAAACCTTGGACTGTTGATCAGTGCAGCAGTATTTGACCTTTGGGAATTGGCCTTTCCCAGACTGACTTCCAGTTCTGTTTCTCTGAAGTAGTACCTTGGTCTGCATGATCTGTGCTATTCTGTAAAAGGGGCCTATGCGGCCTGATGATACCGGAGATCAGAAGATGTCTTGCAATATAAGTTACTTCTATTTCATGGCTAGCTTTTATCCCTACCACCCCATGCCTTGTTGAAACTTCTTTTCTGCCTTGATTCTAGGGGGCTGTGCAACCTGATCCCTCCAACAAGGTCAGATAGTTTGTAAACTAATTTCAAAACCACCCACCCACCCCTGTGTTTCAGCTGGCTTCCATGATATCGAACATTTGTGTTTCTAATGAAAGTTTTTTCCTTCAGTGCTCTGTGCTCTTGGTTCTGTGGGACTAACATAGCAAATTGCACAGAACAGTGTATGTTAGGTGCAGCCAACTTAACCAGATAGATAACTGCACTTGCCTGAGGAACTTCCATGAGACAACTCAGACTCACACAGGACTGCTCCATGACGAAAGTCATACCTGTTCCTCTCAAGGAAGAGGCAGAGTTGGTTGCACATGGTCATCTGATGTTACACTGATCATACAGAGGTCTACTTGCAAGAGCAGTTAGTTGCAGAGTAAGCTGGCTGGCTCCTGTCATGCTGATCTAACTACTTTTGAGTCATTTCAGTTCAAGGTAATTGCTTGATGTTACAGTACACAAAATGAAAGTTAGGTAAATACAGTGTACCCACGTGACGTCACGGTTCAGCGTTTGCAGCTTCAGTCTTTCGCGGGATTTTTCTCCGAGCAAGTCCAAGCTGATCTTGCGAGTAAGGCAGTGCCTTGCCATGCGGCTGCTTACTCGCAAGGAGGTTGTTTCCTCCAAGTTTGGACTCGCTCAGAGAAAACTATCTCTGGCACGTGCTCCCCTGCCCTGCCATGCACGTGCACCCGCCTCCTGCCTGCACTGCCTTGGCGGCCAGTGCCCATCGCTGGCACCAAATTCCCGGTCTTTCACAATTTGCGGGTGCTTTAGGAATGTGACTTCCATGAATTTCGAGAGACTACTGTACTTCTATTCTGAACAAATAGCTATTTAACTATATTAGGAGAGTATCGATGAATCCCACCCCAGCTTACTCAGAGCAATGGCCACCTTGGGACCACACACAAGCTGTAGCAGTGCAAGTTACAGATTCATTTATTCAGAATGTACTTGGATCATCCTTCCATTCAAGATGATGTATAAATAAAAAGCCCAAGCCTTCGTAGTGCTTTCTAGGCAAGAACCAGCAGCCTGAATTGGGCTTGGAAACAAGCCAGAAATCAGTGCTGGGGTTAATACTGTCGGCAAACCATACAACAGTTCTAATATTTACCAGCTGGTCTTGCATAGAGCCCTAACAGCAGTGTCGGAATTGTGAACTGATCTGGATGACCATTCCTTTTGGAGCCTGTTAAAGGCAGCACTCTACCAGCTTTTCAAATTTACTTGTGTGGCCCTGAGGACTAGAAGTTCTTGCTTAAAAATGAAAGCTGAGGGCAAATGCTCACTGTAACCTATATTCTTTCATAAGGAATTTTGCTTATCCTTGCATTAGATCTCTCATTTACTTAGTGGTGCCCTTCTGATATCAAAAGTTAAGAGACTGAGCAAATGACCAGTGTCATGCCATTAATGCCCTGTATACCATTGTGACTACCTGCAATAACAAATTCTTTGTTTGGCTGTTTTAAATATTTGTCTGAAGTGAGTGGCATGTACCTACAGGGTAACTTCCCTGGGACATTTTGCTGTCTTGCAGCTCTGTGTGTTTTTTCTTACTGTAAAATCATGATCAGAACCTCTGCAAAATTAGCTGCTGCTTGCTTGTAGAAATAGATTTTTAAAAAAAAAATTAATTGAGCCCCTCCCAATTTTCCTTTTGGCTGAACTCAGGAAGTTGCCCCCTGCAGGAGGCTTAATCTATGTTTCTTACCTTCTGTTGCGATCATGGTTTTGCAAGTTTTATGATTGCATTTTTATTGCCACTCTTTTAAACTGGCACAGACCATAATAGCAAAGAAGTTTATTTACAGGCATGCCACTGGGCTGTTCATTATCAGTTAAGATATAGCTCAGCAGTTGGCCACTTGTCTCCTTTCTGAAGCAACTTAACTGCTTTATTTATATTATTACATATATAGCCTGCCTTTTTCCTTCTTGCTAGGAACTCAAGGGAGTTCACCTGGTCCTTCTCTCCATTTTATTTTTACAACCGCAGCTGAGAGTCAGTGACTGGCCCAAAGACACCCAGTCAGCTTCATGGCCAATCAGGAATTAGAATGTAGATCTCCTGGGTCCCAGTACATCACTAACCACCACACCATGCTGGCTCTTATTAGTGACTTCTTTTTGAAGAGAAGAAAATCACAGAATTCAGAAAAGACATTGACTATGAAAACTTTCATCTTGTTTTACTGAAATATTTCAATTTCAAATCCACTCCATGTCTTTTATAAGTCACATTCAAACTCAAAGGCTAATCCTCAAAGCAACATCAAAGGGGAAGTTTCCTGTACATTTGGCAGGGATTCTCTGTGCTGTCAATGTAGGTCCTAATGTCTTAATAATTGTGCACATACACAGTCACGGTACCACTCTTTTCCTACCCAGGCTGACAGTACGTTGTATACTCCAGCCATAATTTCCCCATCCTCTCTTTTCTCTCCTCTTCCCCACCACACAACCCAGTTTAAAAAGATCAGTGCTAGGGGCCTATTTGGTTAAGGCAGAGGTTTTGTTCAAGAACTTACATTCTTTCTAATCTACTTGCTGCTATAAGGAGCTTGTATGCGGAGCTAGTGGAATCTAACACAAATTCATGTGTATTCTATGCTTGCAGATTGAAAACATTAGAAGAAAACATAACTACCTGCCATTCATCATGGAACTGCTAAAGACCTTGGCAGAACACCAGCAATTAATCCCACTTGTTGAAAAGGTAGGTGCCCTACAATGCGCCCTGTTTCCCTCGCTAGAATTGTTGCTATTTTTTAATTCTTCTACTTGAATATTCGTGGAAATTGTTAGGATGTTCAACACACACATGAGCCTGCAGGCAGTTCTTCATTTTAAACACGAGAGGTAAGCAGATAACTCAGTAGGGATATCTGCCTCTCTCGCCCTGGGTCACTAGGTGGCACACATTCCACACGGATGTGTTCCTCCGAGAGGCTAGCTCGTAGTAGATATTGGTTTCTGTAGGATCTCTGCTGATTTATACTGATCTGCTAGTGTGTTGCTGTTTCCTCGGTGTTCTGGTCCCAGTGGTAACATTGATTTGCTGATCTGGCTCAGCTCCAGGCACATTTAATGAAGAAAGTAAGGTGCTCAACCCCCCTGCAGGGCTATTAATCTGTGTGGTGGTTCAGTTGCCCTTATTTGGATTCTTGTCCTGAAATTGCTTGGCACGTGATCTTTCCTGTGCTCTGGATGCACAGTGTGAGGCGCTAATGATGAGGAAGGTCTATTTAAGTCAAAATAACTGTCCAGATTTACAATAGCAGGTTAGGCTTCTAGATTTAAATGTGCCACAGCTAATACCTTGCAGCTGCTTTTGTTTCACAACTTTAGTTATTATTTATAAAATGCAACCCACCCCTTAACAATCAGTTGGGTTATCAAAGGTTGCAAACCTAAACACGTCTACTTGAGAGTGAATCCACTGAACTTTATAGGTTGGAGCTAAACTTAGTCATGTTTAGAGTAGATCTGTTAAAACCAGTGGGAATTAATTTAATCGTGCTCAGCTTAAGGCTCTTTGATTTCAGCATCTCCTCCAAGCAAGAGTAGTGTCTTCCAAGCAAGACTAACACTGGGTTCACACTACCCAGCAACCTCTTGTGGATAACCATCTGCTGTGGGTTGCCATATGGTGCAGCCTTAGGCGGCTTCCCACCAAGCGGCTTGTTTGTGGGAAACAAGCAAACCTGACTGCCCATGGCTTGTCGAACCTATAGGGTATGTTGAACCTATAGTAGGTTGTCATGTCATCCACACCTGAGAGACCAGTCCTGTGGTGGGCTCTGGGAAGCAGTGAGCAAATTGGCAACAGAAGCCCTCCTCTGGGAACCCTCTGTGAAAGGAGACAGAGTACCCGGAGGAGGGCCTTCTCTGTGGTGGTGCCCCAACTATGGAATGCGCTCCCCAGAGAGGTCCGCCTGGCGCCGTCAATATATGTTTTTCAGCGCCAGGTTAAGACCTTTTTATTTAATCAATATTTTAATATGTTTTAATATTGAATTTTATTACTGTATTTTATTAACTTGCAGCCAGAGTGGGTCATCAATTTATTTATGCTGTAAGCCATCCAGAGATGTAAGTAATTGGACGGCATACAAATTTTATCAATCAATCAATCGGCAAGAGTGGCAAAAATCCCTTGCTATTTTTGGCACTCTCGCCCATGCTGCCACCAGTGACCGCTATTTTGTCAGTACCCGAGCAGTACTTTGGAACAGCTATCACTGGTTCATTACCCTTTCGTGTGGGAAGAACTGTGCACACTTGAAATTCTTTTGGTGCTTTGTAGGTGCATACTTACGGATCCCTGCAGTGTGGAGTCTTGCTTGGCCAATGTCCTGGTAACATCTTTTGACAAAGTGCAGGAGGTGATGTCCATAGACATTAGCCAAGCAGGCTACAAGTGGGTTACTTTGTACACACTTGGCAGCTGTCAGCTGACAACTTGTCAATCGAAAAACAAAGTGGTGAAGGGATTTTTGCCCTCAAAAGGCTATCTCCCCCTTTCAGGTGTGACCTTTCAGTTTTTCAGAATGGCTGTGAAATTTTTTACTGCCCTCCCAAACAGAGATAGCGACATCTTGTCCCCTTTTTGCAAGCACTTATTTTTGATAGTTGTCAAAAGAAAAACTTCTTTTGGGGACAGGAAAATAAACAGCCATGAACACTGAATATATTTCCCTGTCAGAAGGAAGGAAGGAAGGAAGGAAGGAAGGAAGGAAGGAAGGAAGGAAGGAAGGACGGAAAATTATTTCAACTGTGCACGTCTGCTTTTTTAAAAAAACACAATGAGCCAGTGGCAGTAACTCCAGTGAGCCAGTGGCAGCAGCACAAGACTCTGGGGAAAAATGAGGTCAATGTCACAGTGGGCCATGTTGGGGAGACAGATTGGGTTCTGCTGTGGAGGCCTCTGGAATACCAGTTGGAGGACTGGGGAAGAAGGTGAGAACAACCCATGCTTGCCCTAATCATCTGTTGGGCACACTGTGCATTGTTCCATGAACAGCCCACACGTAGGGTGACTTGCTAGATTGTGTTAACTTGCACTAAGTCTGAATATAATCGTGTGTTGTCCATGGGGTTGTGATGGGTCGGGCACGACTTCACGACTAACAACAGAGTTGCTATGGTCTCTCTCAAAATCGTTGGAATGTCTTCTTTGTTTCAAGTACTTCTGCTTCACGGTTCTATAGATTCTCACTGCTCAGTGACACCAGGCATTATAAATCCTGATGATTAACTGAAGTAGCTCTGTAAGCAGAATGTAGGGTGTGTCACACAGCTCCCAAAAGAGTAGTAGAAATTTGAACAAATTCAACTGGCCCCACAGACCAATTGGAGGAATTGCTAAGTAATAGCACAGTTGTATGTTCTTCTCATACCTGCTGAACACCAAATAAGAGTGCATGTGTTAGAAATTCTGGAGAATGTTAAATTCCTACTCCATAAATTGCTTTTTGACACTGATTTGGCTTTGCTTGGATAGCCCAATTTTGCCCCACAAGAGTAGGAAGCAAGAGACGCCTCCAGTAAACCACAGTACCAAGTCCAGAGCTGCACAAGGGCTCGTACCTGTTGTGCAATTAAAGGCTGTTGCAACTATTTCCTACTATTTCTAGACTGACAGTACTAGAAATTGGGGGAGAGGGATGTGAGTGTGCATATTTCATTTTTCTAAAATAGAATGATGTTTACCCTGGTTTTTTTGGTCCTAAAGTTTTGTAGAGTGATGCACAGTAACAATGAAAGCATCCTAAAAATAACACACACACCCAAAAACACCCTGCAGTAAAGCCAAGATCTGAAAGTGCTAGGAAAATAAAAAGGGTTTCCATCTGGTATGACAAACAGCCAAGTCTGCTTAGTGCAAATCTGTGGAGCGAGGTCACCCTGATCAAGGAGGTCTGTTCCCCAGTCACCCTGCCTCACTTCCAGCAGTGGGAGGAGCAGGACTGAAGTCCGCATAAGTCCTGCTATCTTTTCCTGAGTCTTGCTACTTAGTCTCTACTGGATCCAAGGGACTCTTCCATTCACAGAGGGTCATGCCTGAATTCAGCCTTTCATGTTTTCAAAAACATAACCTCCTATATTGTTGCCATCAGTTTAGAAGTCAGCTCAAGATACTGGGAAAATGTGTGCAACTGATTATCAGGAAACCTGGTAGTGTTTGTGTATTAAATGTTCCCAGTGATAATGAGTCTTGTATATTTTGAGTTGCAGAAAACTGTGGACAGTTATTACAAGAGTACAATATGCTCTCTCTGTCTGCATTTACTTTCTAGGCAAAAGAAAAACAGAATGCTAAGAAAGCTCAAGAGGCCAAATGAAGACTGGTGTCTTTTCTGTGTTGGCTTCCCCCACGGCTGTTTGGTGGAGAAAATGTGCTTCTGATTTTTTTGTCTTCATGAAAGCAACCCTGCAAGACTTCTTGTAAAGTTTAAATTTGTCCAGTGCACGTTTACCAATTTGTAACAGCTTGTCCTGTCCCAGTTGCTCGGGGTCTATGAATCTTCCCTTTTTCATCCACATCATGTGCATGTACTACCACTCAGAAAAGGCTTTTAGAATTTCTGTTAAATTCCAGTATTTAATGGTGATATCTGACTTATTCTTCATATTTAATCAGGAAATGCTGCTGCAATTTGTATAGACCCAAATTTGTGCAAGTAATGTAGACCTTTTTACTGTAATGAACATATTTAAGTATTTTGTCTTGCAGTGAAACCTTGGATATATAGTTATGTGAAGGAATCTTGACTTATTTTTACAAATAAGTTGGCCTGTATTTGCTTATCACCACTATCTGTCTTGGTCTCTGAGCCTTTCAGTGGCTGTTTCTCTGTTTTTGTTCCTATGGAGTTATGTCTAAATTTTCTACAGAGTTGAGAGTAAAAACTGAACGGTAGAATCATTTACAGACCAGTGCACAAGCCTAAGAGTCTATTGCTTCAGTAGGAAAAAAAGAATAATAAATTTTCCCATTTTTATTTTGGCAAATGTTTGTACGTTGTAATATTCCTATCATGGTTAATGTAATTTTTGAAAGGATATCCCTCATCCTCCTCTGGAGCCATTTCTGTGTAACACCAAAATTACAAAAAAGAGGTTTCCAATGTTTTCCAGTATTCATGGAGATGTTTATTTGCAGTGGGTGGGGGGCAGCATCAGTATCTTATAGGGTTTGGAGGAGAATTTGCAATTTGCCCTTCTCTGGTGTACACCACTACCTGTATATATATTTTCCTGATGTTCTGAATTAAACAAATGCTCTATTTTCATCCTTCACTGTTTTAGAAAAAGAGATTTTTCAAAAAATATTCAATGCAGTTTTTATTGGGTAAAAAATGCAAGTTATACTTCTAGATTGAATGCAAACAGATGCCCCTGGTTATGTTCTGGCAGTCAGTGAAGGATGACCAATTGTGACTGGGAAAAGCTTGCAAAGTCTGGTAACGTTCTGTACATATTCTGTTCTCTGGTCACAGTGTGTGTACCCATAAACCTACTATGTAATTCATGCACATCCAGGTCATGTTCTTTGTTGTCCCTGCAACTTTATTAGTTCTCTTTTTGCAGTAAGGCAAAGTGCAGTGGACTCTTAACCTGCTTCCAAAGCCATATCAAGGGTAACACCTGTGACTGCCTACCAAGTTTGTAAAAGCAGAGCTCATGGCAACTTAAAAGGCAAAGGGGACAGTCTGGAGAGAAGTACCCCTTAGGAGGGTGAAAATCTAACAGACCAGCCTAGTCCTTCCATCCTCTATGTGCTTCCTGTTTTTATTTCCAAGGGGGCCAGTAGCTCTCCAGTGGAGTTTACAGCAGAGGTCTTCTGTTGTGAAATGGTGGATACAGCCTTGAACTAGCAGATTAACGACCAGAAAAGGGAAGAAATGAAGTAGGTACCCAGGTTGTGTCAGGAAGTCTGGTGGTATTTACTCCAGTGGCAATATATCTGTATCCTGCCTTCCTGTTTTGTAGCTGAAACACTCAGGGTTCATCTCGTCCTCATGATGTGGGAACAGCATCCTTGGTAGATGTCAAGGTAGCCTCTGTTTAAATATCTCTGATCAAGGAGAACTCATCACCTCCCAAGATAATCTGCTTTACTGCTGAACAGCTCATATTATTAGGAGTCTTCTAACTTTTAGGCAAATTCTGCTTACGTGCAATCTCCACCCATTGATTCTAGCCCTCTGTTGCTTTGTAGGGAAAAAACAGTCATCTGTGCTATTTTCTGCACAACAGCCTTCAACATAAATGAGGATGGCTTTTATATCCCCTCTTGATCTCTTACACGGGATAAACATACCCAGCTTTTTGTTCTTCATGGGACCGTCTTCCCAGATCCCTCACCATCCTACTTGCTCTTCTCTAGACAGAAGACTTGGCATGTTCCTCAAATAGTCCCCCAGAGCTGCACATAGTACTTCAGATGTTCCAAACGCCCTTGGGCGGAGAGGCGGCTGGTTATTCTGGGACAGAATTCTGTATGCTGTGTACTTCCACAGCAAAGGTCTTTCCCTGCATTTCTACCAGTGACGCCCCTACTGGTGGTGAGTATTGGAGTAGTAAATTTCAATGGGTACAATAGAGTCGTATGATCCCTACAAACATGCAGGCCCCTACCTTGATCTGATTAGAACTTTGGGTGTTGTGCTTTGTATACCGGCTGAAGTTTCTGAACACTGAAAGGAAGCCACTTACGGATACAATATTATACTAACCCAGCCTTGAGGAATTAGGTCCTGCATCCCATGTCAAGGCATGTCTTCTCCCACGTGTGTTTTTGGTTTACCAGCCCAAGTGTGCCAAAGCACTCCCCAGCCACCACTTGTACCTAGTGATACAGCAGTTCTTCCAAACATCAAGGGTTATGTAACCCCATCCAAAATAAACTCAATCCCTGCCTGTAGATCTACAATCATGCTAAGAACACTTCTGTCTTGTTTGGATTAAGCCTAAATTTATTTGCTCATGTCCAATCTATCACTCATCTCAAAGACAGAGAGTCAGCTACTGAAGTCACTGAGACGGGAATCTCTGGACACTTCGTCTCTATAAATGTTTAGAAGCAGGTGCAGGGAGGAAAGCGATGGAGCACCACAAGCCCATGTTTCTGGTGTCAAGCAGACATCCCCAGATTGAGTTTCTGAGACCTGTGCCCCAAGAGAGACTTGGAACAAGTGCAAGGCAATGTCCTTAAGTGACATCTCACACAAATGGTCCAAGATTACTACCCTGGTGGCTGGTATTGAAAGCCCCAGTTTCACAAGTTGTAGCTTTCTTATCTAGTGCCTGGCATAAATTGTCCACTAAAGTCATTTCTGTCCCAAAGCAGGTCTAAACAGGAGCTCTTTGGAATTAAGCTGCTGCTATATACTCAAATATCTTGTCCAGAAATTAGGAGACTAGCCTGTTCATACATACCTGATCCTTATCTGTCACTCTCATAAACAATTCTTTGACTTGTGTGCCTTTTAGCCTCTTTCTCTGTGCCACATGTCCATGGGTAGTGCTTCCCTGTAGCATAATTGCATACCTGCAGACACACACCAATTCGAGGTTATGCTTGTTTGTGCTTTTCCAGCCCACCATTGTGTCAGTGAAATAGGAAAAGCATTGAGGCCTTTCTTGCCCCCTCCTTTCCAGCAGACCAGGACAAAAGTCTAAACAATAAAAGTCTCCCAAGCTAACCAGCTAGACTGACTTTGCAGCACAAAAGAAGATGATTTCAGAAGCTGATAACAAAAGAAGCAAGGTTAAAATAGCCATTCGCAAAATGTGACTTAATGATCAAAAGCTGATTCTAATTGCCTACCTCCCCTCCATTCCAAACAAGGAAGGACTGGCTCCACCTTCAAAGGTGATCATGTTCCTTTATCTGCCCTGTTAACCAGAGGCTGTTTCCTCAGATTAATGTTAGGTCCAGCCTAACATTAATGAAAGTACCTTAGCATGCTCACTAAACTTTCCCGCTGAATTCGAAGAATTCTCTTCAGTGACTACTTGGCTTCTCTCTAAGTCCCCTGGCCTTGATGTTTCGGTTGTGGATTTTAGCTGCTCTGTCTAGTTCACACTCTGTCTCCACAGCTCTGAAGACTGTTTAAAATAGAAATGGCCTCAGTCCCTGTAAATTTTTATGCTTCTGGCTACGCTTATGTGCCTTCCATATTCATGCACTTTGTTAATCATATTATAGGAATGGGGCCATAATCAAAATCTTAACTCACATTACAGAGGGAAATGCAAACTGAGTAAGCCTGTTCTACAAAGTGACATTAAGATCAAGTTCTGATATAAAGCAGAATAGGGTACATGATCCAAACTCTGATACTGCAGACTTTCAATGAAATGGTTTGTTTTAACATACTTTTCAGAGCTATTTTGTTTCTGCTCTTACCTTTTTTCTCCTGCAGTTTTCCTCATTGGAAATGCCATTGGCATTTTCTAGGGTAATTAAAAAGACTCAATAATTATTCTCCACCCTCAGGATAGGTCCAAGCTTTTTAATAATCTGCCAGACACAGTGTTTACTTGAAGCCAAATTATGTATCATGGAACATTATAGTCAATTGCTCCTGCAGAAAAGAGGACAACATTAAGAACTAGCAAATGTAGTTTGGCTCATTCGGAAAGAAGCTGAATTTGTGAAGTTAAAGATGAACTCCCTCCCTGAGTAATCTTGCCTGGAGGAGCACACATGCTTTTCCTGGCCTGATGCTTACCAGGAATTGTTTTGTGTGAGTGATGTGTATGTACATTTGACCTGTTAAATCTTTTTTCTTTTTCTTTTTCTTTTTTTTTTGACAGAGGGCAAGGAAGGGCCATGTGGGCCCTGTGGATTGGATGCATGCAGAGATCAGATATTTACTTAAGACTTGCATGCCTGCTCCTTTACCATGCATGCAGGTTCCCTTGTCAACGGGTATATGAATTGCTTCTAGACCACTGACCATATGGTTGGTAGCAATTGCACTTGCCTGTCAAAGCATTGTAGGAGGTTTGGGGAAAGCTGAATTACAGCAGTCTGGATGAGTAAAGAGATGCACTCTTTTCCACTGTAGACATTTCCTAATGAGCTCAAATGGGGGGAATTGGTTTATTCCCTGGGAAGCACTGCCTTTGTCTCGTAAAAACTCCGATCATCCTACTTTGATCATAAGAGGGAGAATAAATAGAAAAGCCACTTTGTCCAATTAATAGTTAAGCTGCCTCCCCTCAGAAAACATTTGCTGTCATTCGTCTGTCATTAAGTTTAACAGAAAACTTAATGACAAACATGGAAGAATAGGCATTTGCTACCATATTGGCAAAGAAGGTCAATTCTGAGGATAGGTAAAGGTAAAGGTTTCCCCTTGACATTAGGTCCAGTCATGCCTGACTCTAGGGGGCGGTGCTCATCTCCGTTTCCTAGCCAAGGGAGCCAGCATTTGCCCGCAGATGGTCTCCGTGGTCATGTGGCTGGCATAACTAAACACCGAGGTGCAGGAATGCTGTTACCTGCCCACCGAAGTGGTACCTTTTTATCTACTTGCATTTGCATGCTTTCGAACTGCAAGGTTGGCAGGAGCTGGGACGGAGCAATGGGAACTCACACCATTGTGCAGATTCAACTGGCGACCTTTCGATCAACCAGCCCAGCAGCACAGCGGTTTAAACTACTGCGCCACTTATGTCAAACTAGTTTCATAGAGGCAAGATGTTTGTTTGTTTGAAATCCTGGCAGCAGTGTTACAGAATCACCCTTTGAACTTAAGATAGTAAGATGAGACAAGAGCTTGTGAGATTCAGCAGCCCCTCTTTCCACAAACGCCACCTCCCCGCCCAGCGAGTATCCCAGTTTCCATTACTTCATTACAGAATATTTGCTTGAAGACAGATAGGAGCCTAAACATTCCTACAGGAACTTTTGAGGAAACATGCTAGGGAAAAAATAATTCACATTCCAAATAGACAAGGGTCAGTGTCCTTCACGGAGACAGGGAGTTTCTAGATAACCAAGCCTAGCAAAGAATACCAGATCCTGTTGCTTGAGATGTTTAGAGTCTCTGTTGGCAGCAGTCCAGCAGGTCTAAGCAACTGAATTTGTAGTATTGTATCTTTAAATCTCATTACAAATAGCCTGCAGCAGGCTTCATGCAGCTGCATATATAAGTTGCATTACAGGCTGTGATTTTTTTTCTTTCTTTTAAAAAATTGCTTTTCAGATGCTGCAGAATAGCTAATGTACACAGCTGTGTACACAACCAAATTCTGTGCTCCAGCACTCACTAAGAAACAGAGCA